GCCTGCAATTGAAAATAAATCATTTTGAAATTTAAATATCAACATTATTACGCTTTAGAAATCCACTATTATTTTCAACACGTAGAATATGCTGTGGTTCAAATTCCTTTTTTTTTAAGACATTGAAGCAATAAGGGATAAAACTACCTCAAGACCGTAAAATTGTTTTCTTTCTCTTTCACATCTTCGTCTACAGCGGCCAACTGTCATGTGTTTACCGAACGTCCGTCGTCCAGAAAGAACCCTTTTCCTTGAGTCCTGGTAGCAGCCAACCATATCTATATGAAAATTCATTATCATTAGGCTCTGTAAATTCTTCTATTTTCATCTTCTAATTTTCCCAGAGCCCTTCTAACAGCTACTCTTATTTAAAAGATAATTAAGATTCCTTATTGTACTGGTTCCGGAAAAGACAGTTTCACTCAATTGTGTTTTTAATAATTTTATACAAAAGGTTACGCAAAAACGAGCTTCGAATAGCCAGAATTGTCTTGTCACATTATCAGGAAAATTTATGGATATAAAAAAATGTTTCTAAGCCATCATATTCACCATCAGAAAACTAGATCTATAAGTTATTCGACCTGCCAAGTTAAGATGCCGAGAGAAGAAATGGAAAGGAAAAAATATGAAAACTTTGAGCTTTTGTGTATGATTTCTACAGATTTGAGACAAATTTGGCATACCTCAGGATAACAATATTTGCATTTTAAAAAAGGACCCGGAATTAAAGTTAACGTACTCCATTTTCTTTTATTAAAAATAATCATTTGTAACTTCACAGTTTTCTCGTTCTTCTGATTAAAATTTAAGAATTCACAAGGATCATATGTACAGGTATTTTGTCGAACCTTTCTGCTGCAATAGCATCCAGGGAAAACGTATTGTTACCAATAGGCAGAAGCAATATGACCACCATCAATATTTTATTCATATAAATATCTTACCCTTTCGTCTAATTTTCCCTTTTCCCTTGCCTGCAAAAAAATAATACAATTTATTAACATTCGTAAGAATCTTTTTTCAGGTAAAATATTATTTTAAATAAAGGCAGTCACTGTTAATACGTTTGTTATCAAGTTTCCCCCTATGAAAATCAATGCAAAAGTGTATCATCAATATCTTAAAAAAGCAGTCCGACAGAATTCAACAATACAATGTATATGCAAATAATTTCAATCAATTAGTTACTATAATCTTAGTAGTACTCACCTGAGCTGCGGTATTTCGGGTTTCTGTAAATCAAGATCCTCCAGGCACCTCCACAAGCCTCGTTATTTCCCTTACATTTCATCCTGCATTCTTTCAATGGTTTTCGTTTCTTGAACCGCATGGAATTCCCACAGAAACACTCGTTACCAGCCTGCAATTGAAAATAAATCATTTTGAAATTCAAATATCAACTTTATTACGCTTTAGAAATTCATTATTATTTTCAACACGTAGAATATTCTGTGGTTAAAATTCCTGTTGAAACAATAAGGGATAAAACTACCTCAAGACCGTAAAATTGTCTTCTTTCTCTTTCACATCTTCGTCTACAGCGGCCGACTGTCATGTGTCTACCAAAGGTCCGTCGACCAGAAAGAACCCTTTTCCTTGAGTCCTGGTAGCAGCCAAGCATATCTGGAAGAAAATTCATTGTTATTAGGCTCTGTTAATTCTTATATTTTCAGCTTCAAATTTTCCCCGAGTCCTTCTAACAGCTATACGCTTATTTAAAAGATAATTAAGATTCCTTATTTTACTGGTTCGGGAAAAAATGTTTCCAGGCCATCATATTCACCAACAGAAAACTAGATCTATAAGTTATTCGACCTGCCAAGTTAAGATGCCAAGAAAAGAAATGCAAGGAAAAAACTAGAGGTACTGTGAGGAATGAGCTCACTAAATGATACCCCCCGCCTCCCATATGAATATAATGGCAGTGTCCATGTTTTGCTCTGGAAAATCCAAAATATATGTCAGATCAAAAAGCAAAATAGGAGGTGCACAATGGCAATATGTAATGAAGATTCTGTGAAAGTTTCATTAAATTTCCTTCAGTGGTATGAGAGGAGTTGAGGATAAGAGATGGGTACCCAAAAGCGTAACAGACAGACGGACGGACGGACGAAAATACCGATTACTATATACCCTCCCACTTTTCAAGCGGGGGGGGGGGGTATAAATATGAAAACTTTGAGCTTTTGTTTATGATTTCAACAGACTTGAGACAAATTTGGCATACATCAGGATAAATATTTGCATTTTAAAAAAAGGACCCGGTTTAAAGTTTACATGCTCCGTTTTCTTTTATCAAAAATAATCATTTGTAACTTCACAGTTTTCTCGTACTTCTGATTAAAATTTAACAATTCACAAGGATCATATGTACAGGCTATCTCATATTTTGTCGAACCTTTGTGCTGCAATTGCATCCAGGCAAAAACGTATTGTTACCAATGGGCGGAAGCAATATGACCACCATCAATATTTTATTCATGTATATATCTTACCCTTTCGTCTTATTTTCCCTTTTCCCTTGCCTGCAAAAAAATAATACAATTTATTAACATTCGAAAGAATTTTTTTCAGGTAAAATATTATTGTAAATAAAGACAGTCAGAGTAAATACGTTTGTTATCAAGTTTCCCCCTATGAAAATCAATGCAAAAGTGTATCATCAATATCTTAAAAAAGCAGTCCGACAGAATTCAACAATACAATGTATATGCAAATAATTTCAATTGATTACTTACTATAATCTTAGTAGTACTCACCTGAGCTGCGGTATTTCGGGTTTCTGTAAATCAAGATCCTCCAGGCACCTCCACAAGCCTCGTTATTTCCCTTACATTTCATCCTGCATTCTTTCAATGGTTTTCGTTTCTTGTACCGCATGGAATTCCCACAGAAACACGAGTTACCAGCCTGCAATTGAAAATAAATCATTTTGAAATTTAGATATCAACTTTATTATGCTTTAGAAATTCACTATTATTTTCAACACGTAGAATATTCTGTGGTTAAAATTCCTGTTGAAACAATAAGGGATAAAACTACCTCAAGACCGTAAAATCTTTTTCTTTCTCTTTCACATCTTCGTCTACAGCGGCCGACTGTCATGTGTCTACCAAAGGTCCGTCGACCAGAAAGAACCCTTTTCCTTGAGTCCTGGTAGCAGCCAAGCATATCTGGAAGAAAATTCATTGTTATTAGGCTCTGTTAATTCTTATATTTTCAGCTTCAAATTTTCCCCGAGTCCTTCTAACAGCTATACGCTTATTTAAAAGATAATTAAGATTCCTTATTTTACTGGTTCGGGAAAAAATGTTTCCAGGCCATCATATTCACCAACAGAAAACTAGATCTGTAAGTTATTCGATCTGCCAAGATAAGATGCCAAGAGAAGAAATGCAAGGAAAAAAATATGAAAACTTTGAACTCTTATAAATGATTTCAACAGACTTGAGACAAATTTGGCATACATCAGGATAACAATATTTGCATTTTAAAAAAAAGGACCCGGTTTAAAATTTACATGCTCCGTTTTCTTTTATGAAAAAATAATAATTTGTAACTTCACAGTCTTCTCGTACTTCTGATTAAAATTTAACAATTCACAAGGATCATATGTACAGACTATCTCATATTTTGTCGAACCTTTGTGCTGCAATTGCATCCAGGCAAAACCGTATTGTTACCAATGGGCGGAAGCTATATAACCACCATCAACATTATATTCATGTAAATATCTTACCCTTTCGTCTAATTTTCCCTTTTCCCTTGCCTGCAAAAAAATAATACAATTTATTAACATTCGTAAGAATTTTTTTCTGGTAAAATATTATTGTAAATAAAGACAGTCACTGTTAATACGTTTGTTTCCCCCTATGAAAATCAATGTAAAAGTGTATCATCAATATCTTAAAAAAGCAGTCCGACAGAATTCAACAATACAATGTATTTGCAAATAATTTCAATTAATTACTTACTATAATCGTAGTAGTACTCACCCGAGCTGCGGTATTTCGGGTTTCTGTAAATCAAGATCCTCCAGGCGCCTCCACAAGCCTCGTTATTTCCCTTACATTTCATCCTGCATTCTTTCAATGGTTTTCGTTTCTTGTACCGCATGGAATTCCCACAGAAACACGAGTTACCAGCCTGCAATTTAAAATAAATCATTTTGAAATTAAAGCATCAACTTTATTACGCTTTAGAAATTCACTATTATTTTCAACACGTAGAATATTCTGTGGTTAAAATTCCTGTTGAAACAATAAGGGATAAAACTACCTCAAGACCGTAAAATTGTCTTCTTTCTCTTTCACATCTTCGTCTACAGCGGCCGACTGTCATGTGTTTACCAAACGTTCGTCGTCCAGAAAGAACCCTTTTCCTTGAGTCCTGGTAGCAGCCAACCATATCTGTAAGAAAATAAAAACCCGTAGTTCTTAGTCTATATAACAAAATTTTCATCTTCTTTTCTGCGGGTCTTAGTAACAGCAAATCTAATCTGAAATAAAGGTAAGCTTTGTCACATGTTAACTCATACATTTTTACAGGTTGGTAGAGACCAACACATTCACCCACCAATAGGCTGGTATCAACTTCAACATCGCAATAATATGATCCCTTTGAACTAAAACGCCAGGATAAAATTGCGAAGGTGATGAAAATGGGTAATCTTCCAAAGTTCTACATATCCTGTTGATTTCGTTGAATTCTAAAAGACTTCAGACAAAATACCTAACAGCGATTGAAAAATAGGGTGTAGAAAGATCATTTGCTTTTAATAAAAGTTCTCTACAAACTCCTACAAACGCAGGGTTTCCTCATACTTCTATCTTAAATTTACCAATTGTATTTACTAGACAGAAAAAATATTACATTTTTTGTGTCTTATATTTTGCAAAATTTCTTAAGCTGCAAATGCATAGAGGAAAATGTACTGTAACAATTGGGCGAAAGTAATATCAAATACAATCAACACTCAATTCAAGTAAATAGCTTACCTTTTCTTCTGATGTTCCCTTTTCTTTTGCCTGAAAAAAAAATAGAATAACGTTTCTTTGAATATTTTTTTCCTCAGGGATTTGCAAATCTAAAAATGTTTTGCCCCAAAACCAATGTAAAATTTGAATCATCAACAAAAAAAATCAATCAATTCCAAAAGTATACAGATATAATTTTTTATTTCAACAAATTAAATAAAAGGAGTACTCACCTGAGCTGCGGTATTTCGGGTTTCTGTAAATTAAGATCCTCCAGGCACCTCCACAAGCCTCGTTATTTCCCTTACATTTCATCCTGCATTCTTTCAATGGTTTTCGTTTCTTGTACCGCATGGAATTCCCACAGAAACACGCGTTACCAGCCTGCAATTGAAAATAAATCATTTTGAAATTAAAATATCAACTTTATTACGCTTTAGAAATTTAGAATTCATTTCAATACATGGAATATTCTGTGGTTAAAATTCCTTTCTTTAAGACGTTGAAACAATAAGGGATAAAACTACCTCAAGACCGTAAAATCGTTTTCTTTCTCTTTCACATCTTCGTCTACAGCGGCCGACTGTCATGTGTCTACCAGACGTCCGTCGACCAGAAAGAACCCTTTTCCTTGAGTCCTGGTAGCAGCCAAGCATATCTATAAGAAAATAAAATCCGGTAGTTCTTAGTCTATATAACTAAATTTTTATCTTCTTTTCTGTGGGTCTTGGTACTAAACAGCCAATCTAATCTTAAATAAAGGTAAGCTTTGTCACATGTTAATTCATACATTTTTACAGGTTGGTAGAGACCAACACATTCAACCACCAATAGGCTGGTATCAACTTCAACATCGCAATAATATGATCCCTTTGAACTAAAACGCCAGGATAAAATTGCGAAGGAGATGAAAATGGGTAATCTTCCAAAGTTCTACATATCCTGTTGATTTCATTGAATTTTAAAAGATTTAAGACAAAATCAGATATCAGAATACTTAACAGCGGTTGAAAAATAGGGTATTGAAAGATCGTTTATTACGTTTTCTTTTTATTAAAGTTCTCTACAAACTCCTACAAACGTTGGGTTTCCTCATACTTCTATCTTAAATTTACCAAATATGTTTACTAGACAGAAAAAAAATAATACATTTTTTGTTGTCTTATATTTTGTAAAATTTCTTAAGCTGCAAACGCATAGAGGAAAATGCATTGTAACAATTGGGCGAAAGTAATATCAAATACCATCAACATTTAATTTAAGTAAATAGCTTACCTTTTCTTCTGATGTTCCCTTTTCTTTTGCCTGAAAAAAAAATTGAATAACGTTTCTTTGAATATTTTTTTCCTCAGGGATTTGCAAATCTAAAAATGTTTTGCCCCAAAACCAATGTAAAATTTGAATCATCAACAAAAAAAATCAATCAATTCTAAAAGTATACAGATATAATTTTTTATTTCAACAAATTAAATAAAAGGAGTACTCACCTGAGCTGCGGTATTTCGGGTTTCTGTAAATTAAGATCCTCCAGGCACCTCCACAAGCCTCGTTATTTCCCTTACATTTCATCCTGCATTCTTTCAATGGTTTTCGTTTCTTGTACCGCATGGAATTCCCACAGAAACACGCGTTACCAGCCTGCAATTGAAAATAAATCATTTTGAAATTAAAATATCAACTTTATTACGCTTTAGAAATTTAGAATTCATTTCAATACATGGAATATTCTGTGGTTAAAATTCCTTTCTTTAAGACGTTGAAACAATAAGGGATAAAACTACCTCAAGACCGTAAAATCGTTTTCTTTCTCTTTCACATCTTCGTCTACAGCGGCCGACTGTCATGTGTCTACCAGACGTCCGTCGACCAGAAAGAACCCTTTTCCTTGAGTCCTGGTAGCAGCCAACCATATCTGTAAGAAAATAAAAACCCGTAGTTCTTAGTCTATATAACAAAATTTTCTGTGGGTCTTGGTAACAGCCAATCTAATCTGAAATAGAGGTAAGCTTTGTCACATGTTAATTCATACATTTTTACAGGTTGGTAGAGACCAACACATTCACCCACCAATAGGCTGGTATCAACTTCAACATCGCAATACTATGATCCCTTTGAACTAAAACGCCAGGATAAAATTGCGAAGGAGATGAAAATGGGTAATCTTCCAAAGTTCTACATATCCTGTTGATTTCATTGAATTTTAAAAGATTTAAGACAAAATCAGATATCAGAATACTTAACAGCGGTTGAAAAATAGGGTATAGAAAGATCGTTTATTACGTTTTCTTTTTATTAAAGTTCTCTACAAACTCCTACAAACGTTGGGTTTCCTCATACTTCTATCTTAAATTTACCAAATATGTTTACTAGACAGAAAAAAAATAATACATTTTTTGTTGTCTTACATTTTGTAAAATTTCTTAAGCTGCAAACGCATAGAGGAAAATGCATTGTAACAATTGGGCGAAAGTAATATCAAATACCATCAACATTTAATTTAAGTAAATAGCTTACCTTTTCTTCTGATGTTCCCTTTTCTTTTGCCTGAAAAAAAAATTGAATAACGTTTCTTTGAATATTTTTTTCCTCAGGGATTTGCAAATCTAAAAATGTTTTGCCCCAAAACCAATGTAAAATTTGAATCATCAACAAAAAAAATCAATCAATTCCAAAAGTATACAGATATAATTTTTTATTTCAACAAATTAAATAAAAGGAGTACTCACCTGAGCTGCGATATTTCGGGTTTCTGTAAATTAAGATCCTCCAGGCACCTCCACAAGCCTCGTTATTTCCCTTACATTTCATCCTGCATTCTTTCAATGGTTTTCGTTTCTTGTACCGCATGGAATTCCCACAGAAACATGCGTTACCAGCCTGCAATTGAAAATAAATCATTTTGAAATTAAAATATCAACTTTATTACGCTTTAGAAATTTAGAATTCATTTCAATACATGGAATATTCTGTGGTTAAAATTCCTTTCTTTAAGACGTTGAAACAATAAGGGATAAAACTACCTCAAGACCGTAAAATCGTTTTCTTTCTCTTTCACATCTTCGTCTACAGCGGCCGACTGTCATGTGTCTACCAGACGTCCGTCGACCAGAAAGAACCCTTTTCCTTGAGTCCTGGTAGCAGCCAACCATATCTGTAAGAAAATAAAAACCCGTAGTTCTTAGTCTATATAACAAAATTTTCTGTGGGTCTTGGTAACAGCCAATCTAATCTTAAATAAAGGTAAGCTTTGTCACATGTTAATTCATACATTTTTACAGGTTGGTAGAGACCAACACATTCACCCACCAATAGGCTGGTATCAACTTCAACATCGCAATACTATGATCCCTTTGAACTAAAACGCCAGGATAAAATTGCGAAGGAGATGAAAATGGGTAATCTTCCAAAGTTCTACATATCCTGTTGATTTCATTGAATTTTAAACGATTTAAGACAAAATCAGATATCAGAATACTTAACAGCGGTTGAAAAATAGGGTATTGAAAGATCGTTTATTACGTTTTCTTTTTATTAAAGTTCTCTACAAACTCCTACAAACGTTGGGTTTCCTCATACTTCTATCTTAAATTTACCAAATATGTTTACTAGACAGAAAAAAAATAATACATTTTTTGTTGTCTTATATTTTGTAAAATTTCTTAAGCTGCAAACGCATAGAGGAAAATGCATTGTAACAATTGGGCGAAAGTAATATCAAATACCATCAACATTTAATTTAAGTAAATTGCTTACCTTTTCTTCTGATGTTCCCTTTTCTTTTGCCTGAAAAAAAAATAGAATAACGTTTCTTTGAATATTTTTTTTCTTGAGGGATTTGTAAATCTAAATAGGCTTTTGCCCGAAAACCAATTTAAAATTTGAATCATCAACAAAAAAATCAATCAATTACCAAAGTATATAGATATTTTTTACTTCAACAAATTAAATAAAAAGAGTACTCACCACCTGAGCTGCGGTATTTCGGATTTCTGTAAACCAAGATCCTCCAGGCGCCTCCACAAGCCTCGTTATTTCCCTTACATTTCATCCTGCATTCTTTCAATGGTTTTCGTTTCTTGTACCGCATAGAATTCCCACAGAAACACTCATTGCCAGCCTGAATTATTTTATGTAAATTGATCCAACAATATCTTTTTATCATTATCACTTTTATCAGTGATGCTGGTAAGATTCATGACTTGATTTTTAAACACGGAAATTTTATTTGCTCTTTTGTAAAACCAATAAATATTAGGGACAATAACAGTTAACTACCTCAAGACCATAAAATCGTTTCCTTTCTTTCTCACATCTTTGTCTACAGCGACCAACTGTCATGTAGTTGCCGTGTGTCCGTCGTCCGTTCAGGACCCTATTCCTTGAATCTTCGTAGCAGCCGAGCATATCTAAAACAGGAAATGTCTATGTCGTCATAGTTTGTAAATATGATATCAATTAACTGAATTGGTATTCTTTGAAAGTGAAGTTTCTTTCGGCATATCTTCAGATAACATTTGAATCCCTTTCGAATCTTAGGTTTAAAGAAAAATGCATTTTTTTAAAAATCTTAATACTCCTAAATGTGGTCAAGATTTGTTGTGAATAAGTTTCTGTACATTGAATTTTTGTGAGCATTCTTTTTAATTGTCTTAATTCATGCATAATTAATTAACTGGTTAGGTATTTACACATAATCCTTCGATCCTACTATAATTATCTTCAAATAAATTATATTTTTTATCTAAATAATAAATTATCAATTAATAGATTTACTTTTCTTTTCAAATTAAATTCCAATTGTTTTCAAAAGCCGGTATGCACAACCTCTATTTTTTTTTTACCAAACGACGACGGATATTGCACCCAATTCTCATTTTTCCGACCAGCAAAGGGGTTTACCCATCTCCAATTCCGTTTTATTGAAAAGACCAGAAAAAATATTTTTAAAAATTTAAACTAATCTAACTTCAACCAAAAGCGTATTACCTCTTCTTGTGACCGTGGCTTTATTTCTGGACCTTCTTCTCCCGCCATTTCTCCAAAAGCGGAGCCCTGCGGCGTCTTTGTACAAAAAAGTAAGAGAGAACATTAAATTTAAGATAGTGATACACATTATCACTTTCCTTAATCTAAGAATTTGCAGTTGAATTTGAAATTATGGTCATTAAATATAATGTGAAAATGCTAAAAACAGAGAAATAGAAATCACAATTTAACTTTTTTAAGTTATGCAACAAGTACCTTCCAAATAAACTGCCAATAGTAACACCAGCAGTACCCTCCACATACTGACAAGTGGAACTGGTGAAGTGGGGTATGTTTTCTGTATATTTATATATGTATATCCTATTGTTTAATGCCAACAGTAGGTGGGTGTAATGATTTAAAGAAAATTACAAACATATGGACTTTACAAAAAGATTAATTTCGTCAGGCAAGTGGTGTAATGATATGATCAATAAGAATTATTGTATTCAGATGCTCACGTTACACCTGTCATACATTTGTTCTCTTCATTGTACATGTATACCGTAGTATTTCAGAGAGAGGAAGAGGGGGGGGGGGGGGTCTTAGTGGATATGATGTCAAATATGAATGTCACAAGGTAAAAAATCATAGTATATTTTGGTAGGATTGCGTTCGTCTTATCAAGATAAACTTTCGATATACTCAGTAACCATAAATGTCAATGTTCACAAATCGCATTGAAAAATGATTTTCATTCATTTCAAAACTTACGTTTGAATAAACTAATAGATAAATTATTATTTTATTTTTCTTTTGTCCCTCGGCAATTGTCGTACATGTATATCCTTTGAAAATGAACATGGTTCATGGCCGAAGGAACTGGGGGTGGGGGTGCATGGGGCACGTGGGAATATATAGACTACTTCAGAAAACATAGCTACTATATGTTTATTCCCCCTTAATAAAAATGTCTGATGACCTTTTATTGCTTGTCCAGGAATTTCTGATATAGTTGATAGTGCCCCTCCAGCTGAAAATACATGGTCTCCCAATCCCCCCACACAACCGAAATTACTTCATACAGGCCTGAGGCTATAGGTATAATATTTTGTCGCTCAGACTTTTCCCACAAAATGTCTTTTCCCCCTATACACAAATGTTTCGTCTCTTTTATTGATATGAATATATAAAAAACCTATGTCAGGAAAATTTAAAACGTCAATAACCCAAGGAACATATGTTTTTTTTTCTTTACATAAATTGAATAGAATGAAATTATAGTAGAAGATTCCGATCAATTACATAATAATATCAGTCATGTATAAAAGTGCAGCAACAAGTGTTTAACAACAAAATACTATAGAAAATCTTTTAATTAAATACTGCATTCTGAGCATCTGGTCTTTAGTACTGAATGGTATATAATGACGCCCCTAATCTATGGAGAGGGTTTGACAAAGGGGGATCCAATATCGACAGAGAGACAGGTTTTACAGAAATGCTAATGACTTGAAATTGTGGACCAAATCGTTACCTCCTGATGTGCAGGTTGCGACCGTTTATTTTAATTGATACATTAATAAATTTCGTAAAAATTTTCTGATGTACTTATCAGCATGGGCGAACAATTAGTAAACAATATTAAACTGTTGATCTTTATTTAAAAATAGAAATACATTTTAAGTCAAAAAGCAATAAATTTTACATTTTAAAGTTTTTTTTGTGTTAAGAAATTGTAAGAACAAATAAAAGGTAGGAAATCAGAATACAAGATATATTTTGTGCTAAATAAATAAAGTGCTTATTGAGAAAGTTTTTAAAAAGCTGAAAATTTAAAACTTAAATAACTTTTAAGAGTTAACTATTACTGAACAGACCTACACAGTTAATTTAAATATAGAAATAAACATGTTTAAATGATAATAATTGCAACAAGCAGATTATAATAATAGATTTCAGAACTTCCAGAAATTTTCCACATTATACCAGTGATCTCGTCAAAATGTCCTTTGTCGTGAACAATCTTTATTATACTTGGATACTGCTAATCAAAAATATATAGAGAAGGAGGATCTGCTTTAAAAAAAAAATTCTCCATATTTATTGATACAAGGGTTTATTAAAGAGTTCCCAATTAATTAAAACTATTTAAATATTGAGTATACAGCAAAGGGTTCACTTTGTACTCTTTAAATCAATTCAATTTATTCACTCATAACCATGTAAATGGTACATGAGGTACAAAAACATATATAACACATATATACATATAATACAGTGGGTCAAGGAGAAGGTGATAATTAAGGAGAACAGACAATACTATTAATTCTAGAAATAAATGTACATAATTATTTCAAAGAATCAACATCATTTTGGCACATGACTTCACAAAACTTGATAATATTTGGATTAGAGCAAAATTTTTGGTTCAAATAAACTTTCCTCAGTTGGTTTAAAGCACTACATTCTAAGATATACTGATATTCATCAAATAATTTAAAGCAATTGGTAATTGTCAATTTTTTCGTAAGCAATGGTATGACAACATGGCGCAACCTCAAAATACGATGTTGAATATCTATGTACATGCAGTGAGTTTAACGGATCAAGACAAATGAATATTTGTTTGTTGAATAACGTCCCTCTCGAGAATTTTTCACTCATATGATGTACATGTAGAGCTGCAGCTTCTGTCCTAGACTCGGTCCCATGACCACTGAGCAGTGAGGGTTCTTTTCCGCGCCAAAGCCTACTGCGACAGCAGCGACAAGGGACCTCGATTAACTTTATACTGTCTCATCCCAAGGACCGACATCCACGTCCAACAGTGGGATTCGAACCCGCGACGAAAGGATCAATGAGAGATATTGAGATAACGAACAGTTTTAAATATCAAAGTCCATAAAACAATACGAAATAGGAGCAGAGCAACACAGGCTTCCAAAACAGAGGTTGGATCAGGTGCCATTGTTTAAAGAGTGAGAGTGTATGGCACGCCAAATTCACAAAAATGAGATAAACCTAATTTCACAATTAATAAACTAGGTTTATCGACTGTAAACTATAGTTTACAAACCGTAAACTATAGTTAACGATTCGTTAAGTATAGTTTCATCTGTAAAACTATATTTAACGGTTGTTAACTATAGTTTACGAATGATAATCTAAGTTTATCTGTCTGTAATAAGCGTTAACAATAGATTTTGTTGATAAACATAGATTCACGTTTGTAAACTATAGTTTACAATCGTAAACTATAGTTAAGAGTTGATAATCATAGTTTCACAAATTGTGAAACTATATTTATCAGATCGTTAACTATAGTTAACGGTTTGTAAACTATAGTTTACAAATCGTGAAACTGTATTTATCAGATAATCTATGTTTTGCAATCGCAAATGATATTTTTCGGTGTTAAGTATAGTTTACGGTTGTGAAACATAGATTATCGCGTTAACTATAGTTTACAGATGTAAAATATAGATTAACGTTGTTAACTATAGTTTACAGTCCGTAAACTATAGTTTACAACCGATAAACCTAGTTTATCGATTGTGAAACTATGATTTGCTCATTTTTGTGAATTTGGCGTGCCATAAGAGTGTTTAAAATAACGACGGGAAGAGATGATTTTTTCCAACTTTCATAATTATAAAGTTACACTTTGGAAAAACTCGCATAAACTTAAAATTGTTTGAACAACGTTGAGAAATACAATGTGTGACGATAAAAAGATTTAGAGAGACAGAAGAACCATCCTTTGGTCAGAAAACTAAAATATTACAGCCTGTAATGATCCATGTTCAAAATAGCCTTTTCTTTCTAACTGAAATGAATAAAGTAGATTGTAATTCAAATGAAAATGTGGACTTATGCAAACGTCTTGGTTTAGCAGCAAAAGTTCTCGTTATAACGCGAAAAGTTATGCCTTTTTAAAAAAAATTCGTAAAAGGTTATTTCGCGAAAATTTCGCGTTTATTCTTTAGAGGTTCACGTTATAACGCAAAAGTTTAATTCGCGTTTATTCGCAAAGGTTCACATCATAACGCGAAAAGTTACACGAAAATTACGCGTTTATTCGCCAAAGTTTCGTGTTAGAACGCAAAAAAAAAAATATTTGTTGAACCTTCGAAAAATGACATACACAACAGAAAATTATCTATATTATATGTTTACAAATGTAGCTGTTACTGACTCAGACGGTACGTGGTCAATAAGGATGTCAATACTTCGAAGGATATATGTTTTGTCTTAATATAAATTAAACAAGTGTAGCATAACAAAGTGCTATATAGATAACCTTTTAACCAAATATTGTATTTTATCACCAGATGTGTACTGAATTGTGTGACACATATTTTTAACCCATAGTATAATATTGTGTTATTATTAAACTATTGGTTCAAAATTTATAACCGAAACAAGTGCCTTTGGATAATATTTAAATGACATTGAAACTGCATTAATTCTATTACATGTAATTTGATTATTGGATGTAAGATATAAGGTCTCCAATAGACTTTGCATTCACCATAAAGCCATAAATTCTGAAAGTAATTCTTTTCTTAATTTTTTATTAAACAGAACCTCTAGAAAGTTAGGATATCTATACTCAGACAGTGGTCAAGTGATCTGGTTAATTCGAGGCACGTGTTTCATTGGAATTGGTTTACAGTTGTAAGTCGGGGTTGGAAATGTAATGAACACCTCACTAAGCTCAGATAAGCTCACTGAGATAATACGTGATTGAAGGGACACAACTGCCACAAAGTTCTAATGAACAATTAATAATTGTTTTCTGTCTCCGTGACCCTCTTAATCAATTGTAATTTTAAAAATAGGATCAAAGGACTGAAGATCCAGAAGTGAAAAATCCGCTTTATTTGCAGAGCCTGGGTCAGATTTAGAAGTATTTTACCGCAATATCCTTCTTAATGAAACAGAAGGCATATATGGAAACAAAATAAAAACAGGTGTAACATATTCATTTACCAATGGGAAGTAGATCTTGACATTATTATATAAATATTTTTATAACAATTGTACATGCATGTATATCATCAAGATATAATGTATTATGTAAGTAAAATTAATATACATTTTTTGGGAGGATTGATTCCTGATTATTTAGAAGACCACAGAGAAATTCACTGTTTGCTGAAGCTAGACAGTCAACAAGACTAGAATCTATTAGGTAATAATATTCCCAACGCCATGATACTGTACTTTACCAAAATTAAATTTATGATGTAAAACAAGATGTGTTTGTGAAACACTATGCGCCCGGCGGCAACAGAGTTCGGAAAAGCTATTTTTAGCATAAAGGTAACAGTCAAGGTCACAAGGTCATTGACCTTGGTGTCATTTGAAAGAGCTTAATTGATTAGTGGAGTATGCGTACCAAATATGAAATCTCAATCTCTCATGGTTCAAAAGTTATAGTGAGGGTTCAAAAAAGCTATTTTTAGCATATAGGTCACAGTGAAGGTCGCAAGGTCAATGGTCGCAAGGTCATTGACCTTGGTGTCTTTTGAAAGACCTTAAATAGTGGAGTACGCATACCAAATATGAAGTCTCTATCTTTCATGGTTCAAAAGTTATGGTGAAGGTTAAAGTTTGAGACAAACAAACAAACAAACAGACAGACAGTACAAAAACAATATGCACCCTCGATCTATCGATCCGGGCGCGTAATAAAATACATTTAAACAACAAATAAATGTGCATGTATTTTGGCTAATAACTGAAATAGCATATATTGCCTATTCAATGCAGTGTTTGAGATTTATTTACAAGAAGCAGCTCTCTTTTATAACACTAGTCGGCACCCGTCGGCTGATTCACACCTTTGATTTAGATGACGGAAACACCCGAGGTTTGCCGAACCATTATCACTAGAAGCATTGTGACGTCATGCTTTATGACGAAATTAAGATACATTTAAGAAATGAATTTAATTTTTGAAGATTCATGAGGTTATGAACTACGACGCTACACGCCGGCATATTTCATGAAGCGCGTTAGCGCTTCATGATAAATATGCCGGCGTGAAGCGTTGTAGTTCATATACCTCATGAATCTTCAAAAAATTAAATTCATTTCTTATATTTACATTATTTTTCTGATGACTTGCCATAGATTTACGCCGTTCAACTGTCATTTTTAAAACAAAGCAGTGTGCACTATTTTTTTTGACTTTTTGACGTCAAGAGCGGTATTATGACGTAACAATGGAGATATTCATGCTTATTCGTGGTACATACCTAATGTAGTTCATGAGAAAATATACTGCATTTTATTTTGTAAAGAATCATAGGGGAAATTTATTGGAAATGTAAATATTAGCTTATCAACCAAACAAAAGGGCGGCGTAAAGAGTGAGTATAAAATTTCTTTGTATCTTACATATCTTTATACCACCATAGACCTAATAAATTTACCCTTAACTACATACATGTACAGCATTCCTTGTGTGTGTAAATCATTGGAATCATTTGATTTCGCAATTATCGTGAAATCAGAAACATTTTGGTAAGTTGGTAAAGTATTAATATTGTGAAAGGAAGTTAGACCCCCCCCCCCCCCCCCCCCCCCCGCGCGAAATAGGATTTTGAAGTTAAAAAAAAGTTTCCTTAATTGTTTTGCTCATCAATCTTTATCTTTGGGTAATTGTTTATTTTTTTCCCTGGCTGTTTCTCCCAATTTAGAAAAAGAACTTTGAGATGAACACTTCAAAAAGAATTAGCCCAAGTTTCTGTATCTGATTTTAAGTAAAGAACAATATGAGCTCATGACTTAACCACATTTGCATAAAAACGATGTATTTTACGAAAGTAAATCCTTGATTCCTGTAGAACATCTCTGAGGAAATAAACTCTCAACTTGATGGCGTTGTGTCTTCAGAGATACATGTAGATTTAAGCTCTTTTTTTCATCTTTTGAAACTAATTACAGTTCTTGACATGAATGATATTTGAGTTTTAGACTATAAGATAATATTTTTCTTATTTTGTCAACTAATAAGTTTTTAAAAGTATTTAATTCTTGTGCCCATTTACTCGCAGATGTATCATTTACAAGCTTATTTTATGCAAATTTTATGGTGCACAAAATTAATATATATTTTTTTCCGATGCTATTACATAGACATTTGCTAATGCTCATTAAACTAAAACTGTATGTAAATTAGAATGTAAATTTTCGCAGCACTCTATTTTTTTTTTATCTTGTTTTATTACATGTACAGTTTAAGAATTTTGTTACGCCTTTAATTAAAGGACTAACATAGATCTAAAACAAAATTTTCCAGGTTTTGGGTCTAATATCTAGGGATGGCAATGTATTAAGCACAATTCAGATACAAGACACCTCCTCTTTTCTTTTATTTGGGCAATTTTACACAAACGTTTCAGACATAATAAAAAATGCTTTGGAAAAGAAAAAAATATATAGTGTATGACGTCATGAAGCATACACACAAACCCAAACGTAACAATAAATGTGACGTAACAATTATCACTACAACAAAAGTGGATGCAGATGGCAGACATATTAGCGGTAAAATGCACGTCTAAATCACTCTTTATTTTGGTTTGTTTTTCTTGACAAGAGAAAATGTATGTTTATAATTATGCTTTTTTGATTGTAGACAGTCATGGATGTTGTATTGAATTTCGGGAATGAGCCAGTTAAAGATGTTGTAAGTAGTTTGGCATACGTTTTACATCTTGCACATAAATCTTTAGGGTATTTTACACGAAGAAAAACTGATAACTACATTTACAATTAAAAAAAAAATCACTGCAAAAAAATAAAATCGTTTAAATTGATCGTCAAAAGAAAATGTTCGTATATAGATTCAAGGATATATAAAAATTCTGTCTTTGAAAACAAAACATTCTATTGTCTTCAGGATTCAAAATTAGAGATTCTGAAGTTCAACTACAGTTGGATTGAAGAAGTTGAAAGGCAAGAAAGACTTATGAAGGTACATTTATTTAGCAAATCCAGAAATAAGTCTTGTGGAACATCACAGTTACACAGTAAACTCTGACAAGGCTTACATGTCGTTCACAATAGATTTTCTCACTTATAATTTGTTTAACTAGAATTTCATTACGCAATAGATTAGTTTAATGAAGTAAAATGTTTTTTTTTTTTTAATTTTTTTTATAGGAAGTCATCCAGCCAGTTTTAGTTGAAAAGGATGAAAAGAAAATTGAATGCCAAGTTAAGATGTTTACAAAAGAGACCAAGGAACTTCCCAGGTAAAGACTAGAACTCCGTCAGAATCTGCAGGATTATATTACTACAATGATACTTACATATGTAATTCTACAAGAATACAATGTTACGTAAAATTTAGTGTGCATTTGGCATCATCCAGTCAATTTAAAGTTTTCAGTGCGAAAGCATCATAACATGTATTTATCGTTGTAGAGAGCCAGTCTTGGATTTTGGCCAAAGACCCGTGAAAAATTTAGTAAGTAAACCATAGTACATCATGAGTAAATCATATGCTTTAAAATTTGGGTACTTTTTAATATATTCGTGTGATTTTTTTATATTGGAAGATAGCAAAAAAAGTTTCTCAAGAAATTATGTTGTTGTGATTATAGTGGTAACCATGCCATTATTGATTATATTGATTTATCATGTATGAACAAATTAGACAAGATTCCAATGATCAATTTATTCAATATGATATGATTACAATGTATTTACTTTTATGCAATATCATTTCATCTGTTTAAACTTTGAATCTTAAAATTTTAGGATGAATCCTGAAGTTTAACTACTCTTGGGCCGATGTGGTAGAGGAGGATGAAAGACGAACAAAGGTAAAAAAATATATCAACCTGCTTCTTGTGTATAAAAAAATCTTAATTATTTGAATTAATTAATTATGAAAATTTTATACACGATACTAAAACAAATTTAGTCATGTTTTGTTGGATTTCTATGAGAACAACTGAATTCAAATTAAAATTCCGAGTGTTTATTATGATTTATGGAATAAAAAATTAAAGAATTGTTGAATATATACTTGAATGAAACAGGAATGATATTTTCGTTAATTTTAGTTTGAAGTCGTAGAATTTCAATGAAGTTCAATATTTTATGATCTTATATTTATCAAAACAATACCAGTGCTAAGCTGCAATTTTAAGAAATTAACACCTAATTTTTTTTTTTAAATTTACCACACTATTGCGTTTCATTTTAAATTATATGTACAAAATTTTTTTTAAAACTATTTTCAAAAGTGAATAAACAATATCATTGAAGATTGCTTCATAGCAAATAGGTCTTTGTAAAATGAAGAATAATTTCTTTTTTTTCTAGGAGGACAATGAAACAAATATAGAAAAGATAAACAAGAAGGAGATGGAATCCAATGTTAAGATATTCAGAGAGGAAAGAAATGAAATTCTCAGGTAATACTTTTTTCTCAAACAAGCATGTATCAAAAAGTATCTACTAAAACCACAAGTGCATGCATGCAATGAAAATTTGATATTATTTATTGCAGAGAGCCAATCTTGGATTTTGGTGAAGGACCAGTTACTAATTTGGTAAGTAAATCTGATATTATGTTTAATTTTTGCTATTTTCTTTTATTAATTTATATCATTTACTTAAATACAATAAAAATGTCATTTTCTAGAAATAATATGTTATTATGGTGCATTAATCAGCTGTAATTTTTCTTCATCTTGTAACTTGTAATATACTTAACTAAAGTGATGTAGGTGGTCTTCTTGAATATAAGTTTCTATATAACATCGGGAGTTTAAATGATTTTTAGGAAGAAAAACTTGAAATTCTGAAGTTTCCATATAAGTGGGCAGATATAGTAGAGGAAGAAGAGAGAGGATCAAAGGTATTAAAATTGATTTATTTAGTTCGCTTCTGAACATTACAGAAATTTATGTCAGGCCGGGTATTATTTATTTATTAATTTTAGTCTATATACAGAAAAAGGCTAAATTTATTGATTTATGGAAGAAATGGAGGAATTACGTTAATGTAAAAATGATAACCCTAATGCTTGAGAAATTGCATGCAAATACACAAAAATAAAATTGAATTATTTTTTAAAAAAATGATATAACATAATATCAAAACAGTCCAACATTTTTATATAAGAATGTTTGAATTACAGGAGCCTCCCATTTTTAACAAAACCTCACTACAAGATGACCTGGAACATCAGAAAGTGACTGAAAAAGAGGGAAATGCAAAACAAGAGATTCCTCCAGACAATGTCAGGTATTAACTGACACAATACTGACATTATAACTTCATAGTATAATTAATTGTTGACATTTGATTGTAATTACTGTGGATTCATCAATTTTTCGTTGGCATCAATTTTCATGTATTTTGTAAATATAACATTATTGAGGATACATAATTTCATGGACAAAAGCATTGTCTATACAAATGAATAACGTATTAATTTTCTTAAGTCAATTAACATTTGATTTCATGGTTATGCTCAACAACAAAATCCTTGAAAATTGGTGCTCAACGAATATTGATGAAACCACAGTGTACTGAATTACATGAATATATGCATTTGTTAAATTAGTCCATATTTTGCTAGAGCATTATGGAATATTGATTTTTTAAAAACACCTTAATTTTTGGTATTAAAGTATAAAATTTTATACTTTTAAACAGCGAAACCAAAGATTTACCTCAACTATTGAAAGCAGAGACTGAAGCTGAAAAGAAAACCAAAGAGTTGGAAGTTAGCAAGATGGAGACTCAGCAGATTAAACCAGAGGTAGGGAAAAGACCATATAGAATAGAAACAATGTAAAAAACATTATAAGCATGTCCAGTCTGTCATTGAAATTGTCCCCTTTGTCTGTGTATAATGACATGCAAAATAAATTTGCAACTGAATGGACAGTTAAATCAGTCTAGTTTCATGAAGTTAACTGGATTATGAAGAAAAAGAAAATATGTAAGAAAGAAATGTTACTCATCTAAATAAATAAACAAATGTAATTAAAAAATATCAGTAATTAAAATACTGATTATTTAAAAAATAACCAATGGTTTATTTACTGAATAAATTTTCACTTTCAATTGATTTTTCTTTTCCAGCTCTTAAGCAATGATGAAGATGAAAACGAAAACTTTGTTCCAAGAAAACTTTTCCTTTTTGGAGTTGTGGAATTTAAGGTACTACATTCATTGAAGTACATACTAGTCCATCTTAAAGAATTCAAAATCAGATTAATTTCCTTTGTATTTAAATGATGAGGGATCAACTTATTATAAAAATGGTGAAAAATTCCCTTTTTCCTGGGGGAAAGATACTTATATATTGTTTAATTCCCGTTTACAAATGATTTTTAAAACCGAAAACCCAAGGGTTGGTTCAACAAACAGTAATAATTGGGACTTTTAGTACATGCATGTGATTAAACTGAAAATGAAATTCTCAATTAGACTGAAAGATTTCTCTTTTTTATAGAGTAACTGGAAACAGATAAACAAAAATGCTGAACAACCCAACACCCCTAAGAAATCAACTAATGTGTTCAACTCTGCAACTGAACCTGTACCAAAAGTGGTAAGTTCATGCATTTATTAAAGCATCCCAAATAAATACTGGGACAAAACATTTGCGTATAAAGTTGTAAGTTTAAGTAAAAATTCAAATGTTTCTCATAATTTCTTTTCAGACAACTGTGAAAAAGAGAACTAGCATCAGCAGGAAAATCAAGACATTCCTTGGATTTAGATAAAAAGAAAAATTACAGTGCAGTGTTTACTCATTAAATGAACTCAAATGACATATAAATGAAGAATTTGTGTGCTAAGGTTAATTGATAATAAAAGATCCATCTAATAATTTATTTATGAGTTCTGTGTGTTTTTTAAGTCCCATCATAAAAAAAAATATTTACACCTAAATAAGTGACACAGAATAATTCAAGGGGCAGTTCTTTTGTCACAAACTTTTGAAAACCTACCTGTTGATCGACAGAAGACTGAGATAACATACAGCATTTAAGCTCGAAATTCCATTCAAACAATAGTCAGCAGCAGAGCAAACATGGACTTCTAAAACATCAGAGGTGGGGTCAGGTGCCATGGAGGAATGAGTATCCCCTGTCAACTGTATATCATGCACTAATCCTGACGACACGATTTTTTGACAATTAATACTTATATTTAGCCTGACAATAATATTGTAACATGAAATTAGACGATATGTTGGAAACTTAGATCTAAAATATACACAAAGACATCTTCAGATAATGAGGTTACATGGTTATGCAAGAATGAGTAATAACTTCAAAGCAAACCATTCACCAGTGAAAATACCTACAATGTACGTAGCATAAGTTGGTTTATGGTGGAATGCCGCACCAACTTTTTATTTTATAGATCTTTGAGTCATCCTTTGTTTAAAAAGGTTGACTCAGAGATCTACAAAATAAAAAGTTGGTGTGGCATTCCTCCTTACGTACAAGAGATTGTAAATGCTCGACTGAATCAATTTATAGTTAGTTTCTCTTCAGTTCTATTCTTCATGATCCATCTCCACTGTATTTTGCCCTGGTTTCCCGTTTGGTGGATTTCCGTCCTCGGTGGGACGAAAGTAGTTTGATCGAGGACTGTGTACATGTATTTTTTTTTTATTGGCAGTTGAGACTGATCGAAAGACTACTTTTAATATAACAGTAGGTTTCGTTTTTCAAGTTGTGTCTAGCTTCGTTTCTTAAACGGATCTTCCTTTCTGATTTTCTGGCAATGATGGTCCCCCTTTTCCCCCCAGGAGAGTTTATTTTGACCGGTAACTGAGAAAAAAAAATAAATTAGAACCTTATTTGATATTGTCCTAAAATTCTGACAAATTGAATGCTGCAGATGTTCAGACATGGTTTTTATCGACCTAAAAAATCGTTTAACCATGGTAGTATCTCGACTGTAAATTATTCTTAAGGAAGTGTTCGCGAAGATAAAATTGTCCTTCACATAAGTCTCATCACAAGGAACATTTCTGATCATTGCAAACTTGATTTGGTTTCCTTTTTTCATATAAAAAGTTTATATTTTTTTTTACATTGATAACAACATTATCAAATCGTACCTTTCCAAGACCATTTCTGGAGCTTTTGAAGAAGATGACTGGAATCCATATTAATGGCGCCAGTACCATAAGCCAGCCCAGTGCTTGACCGTAGTCTGTGGCAGGTTTCATCTGAATAGCTTTGAAAATTATCACAGCCTGTTCAAAAATTTAATTTAGTTAAAACTTATTTCATAAAAGAAAAGAAAAACAAGACAGTATTATCTCCCTAGACTGTGTTGTACGTTTCTAACCCACCCCACCCCCCAAAAAATACTCCAATTACAACATACTTAGCTATTTATAATTAGCAATATCTGCAATTCAACATTGATATTTATAAAGCCAGACAAATAAATTGCCTGAATTGTTTCCCCTTTTTGAAAACTCGAACTACGAGTATACTGAAATAAAAATTTCTTTAAACTAGTTAAAGATCTCTTTTTATTATTTTTTTATTACTCTACTACAAAATGTGCTGTAAGACAGGGAAATCATTATAGTGAGTTTTTTTGATACAACATTAGGAGTTAAACAAGGGGACAATTTAAGTCCTACTTTATTTAATATTTTTGTTGACGACTTTGAAAATTATTTTGATAAAGTTATGACCTACCCTGTATGTTTTGATTTAACTTTTAATCACTTATTTTTTGCTGATGATCTTGTTTTATCATCAGAGTCAGCTGAAGGTCTCCAAAATTGTATAGACAGTCTTTGATATTGTATAGAATGGAAGTTGCATGTAAATTAGAAAAAACAAAGGTTGTGATTTGCTCTACCAGAAAAATAAAGAAATATTATGCATTTTATTATAACAATAATAATATAAATATTACTGATAAGTACAAATATCTTGGTGTATTTTTACAATCAAATGGCAATTTAAAACATGCTTGTGATGACCTTGCTGCCAGAGCCCGAAAAGCTTATTTTGCCTTAAAGCATAAACTACCCTTTGGCTCAAATCTCTCTCCCAGCTTGTGGTTAAAGCTATATGAATCAATTATTGTTCCAATTTTAACATACTCTTCAGAAATTTGGATCTCTGATTTTAATACAAATCCCAGTAATTTTGATAAAAATCCTTTTGAAAAAATCCAAAATTTTATCTTAAAAAACATCTTAGGTGTCCATAATAAAGCATCAAACTTAGCAACTAAAATTGAATTAGGTGTTTTCCCTGTACATACCAAAATTTACCAGCTTGTTTTTAAATATTATTCCAGATTGGAAAAATTAACAAAAACAAATAATAATTGCAATGTCTTGCTCAAGAATGCTTACTTGGAAGATACTCGATGGCCAGTGAAAATAAAAAATGTTGGCAAAGTTGTGTAAAATCAATCCAGAAGATGTTAGATTTTAACTTTGACACAGATTTTAAAACTTTTAGTCCTAAACTTAAAAATTTCTTTGAAAATAATTTTTTTTTAACTCCAACACATTAACAATACTCAATGCGGTAAGCTGTCATTTTATAGTACATTATTCAACTATGATGCTAAGAAATCACAGCCTGGAAATCCAACAATACTTGTGTTTTCCACTTCAAAAGAATTTATTTTCTTATCTTTCCAAGTTAAGAATAAGTGCACATAAGTTGTACGTAGAAACAGGTAGATACTGTAATCCTGTCATTCCTAGAGAAAATAGATTTTGTTTCCAATGTAAAACTATTGTTGAAGATGAAAAACACTTTTTATTTGATTGTCCTGTGTATAAATATGTCAGAAAAAAGTATTAGGTTACTAGATGTTAATAACTTTTCTTGTTTGCTTAATCCACATAACTTTGTATCTACGAAACAAATCTGTCTATATATAAGAGACTGTTTTGATGTTAGAAACAAGCTTACAATAGTTAAATATTTTGCAATACATGTATATGGCTAACAACACATTTCTGTATATAAATATGTGCTTTAGTGCCAATAATGAATTGAATTGAATTGAATATTAGATTAAAGAATCATATTTAAGTTTAACAGTCATTGCATCCAGTAATTGAAATTGATGTTATGATTAGTTATCATTGAATAATAACAGATATTCTTTGTTTATTTATGTAAAATTCTAAATATTTGGCACTCCATATTCATTTGATCTTATGACGTTGTGCCAAAACGTCTTCTAGTTAGACAGTGCATATACGAGGGTTGATCCAAAAGTTCGTGGAATTTCTTCATATTTTATTATTTTATTTTGAAGTGAAATTGGTTGAAAATTATAAATGAGAATATAGACACTTGTTGAATATTTTAAATAAAAAAAATATTTTAAATTTTGATGATGGTAACTCTATGGCAGTTGCCATGGAAACGGTTGTTTGGAAATGCGGGGGAGAGATTAACATGTTTATTATCATTTAAACTCTTAATACGTGAAATGAGAATGAAACCGCCCTATGTGGTATGTAACACGAAAATTATGTCATTATTACGATTTCTTGTTCTTTTATCAACCTTCGTGTGAGAGTTTTACTGACTTTACGGGATATTTAGTTTATTAGTTGATGATTTATTGTTCATCTTTAAGCTGTTTGACAACGTCAAATTTCGGTCAGGTCATATGTTTTCTTAATCTCAGCTATGTGGTATATAAAATTTTGCAGAATCCCATTTTAAGAAAATTATGCAGGTATTTATCATTAGAATAATTATTTAGGGGGATTTACAATTTGTTTTCCAAAAAAAAATAAATTTAGATTTGATTGCGTAGGTTTTTTTTCTCTATTCAGCTGTTATCGACATTTTTTTTAATTTAAAGTACGATTTAATGCAAAACATTTTGATATATAAGAATCATGTGGGAATGTTTTTGAAACAAAAATACTTCTGGGAAAACGTATTCTGAGGCAAATGTCCGACAATGTCCTCCACCTGTCGTAATATAAAAAAAATTGAAGTAAACAGATGAAAGGAAAGCGGGAGGGGGGGGGGGGGGGGGGAAGGGTATTTTACCGTCACGTTTTTAATAAAATGTAGAGTAACCGAAGGGGACCCCAGCACTCACTGGTGCCCCCCCCCCCCCCCCCCCCCCCCAACACTCCTTTGAGATTTTTTCTTTTTCGCTTTCGTAAATGATTTTTTCTAAATTTGTATACATACGCTTTTTAATTTATCAACAAGAAACGATAGCACCACATAGTGTCGTTATACATAGTGTTGGTTATAAATCACCCCCCCCCCTCCCCCGAAATATACGAGTTTCCACTTATTTTTTGTGGGGGTCAAAGTAATCATTTGTGACTTAAATTTTTGAATCCGTCACTAATAACTTTACGTTGTAAAATTTTATTCTTAATTTACCTCAGATTTTGAGTAAATACTAACAGTGCTTTCATTGGAATTGAACGATTCTTGTGTCTGTATACAGATTCAGCTCTCCGTCATCGTTAAGAATAAACCGTACTGTACCGTTGATATTTTGCCGATACAGTACAGTTTCTGCTTATTTGCATAAGAAACGCCCACAAAAAGTGTTCTGTATCGCAGTTACAGTATGCTTGACTTCAAAGGAAAACTCGCCGGGTCATGTCACAAACGCGTTTATTATCACTTAATACGTGAAATGAGAATGAAACCGCCCTATGTGGTATGTAACACGAAAATTATGTCATTATTACGATTTCTTGTTCTTTTATCAACCTTCGTGTGAGAGTTTTACTGACTTTACGGGATATTTAGTTTATTAGTTGATGATTTATTGTTCATCTTTAAGTTGTTTGACAACGTCAAATTTCGGTCAGGTCATATGTTTTCCTTAATCTCAGCGAGATGGGTAGAGACTAAAATTAACGCGTTTATTATCATTTTTACTCTTAATACGTGAAATGAGAATGAAACCGCCCTAGGTGGTATGTAACACGATAATTATGTCATTATTACGATTTCTTGTTCTTTTATCAACCTTCGTGTGAGAGTTTTACTGACTTTACGGGAAATTTAGTTTATTAGTTGATGATTTATTGTTCATCTTTAAGTTGTTTGACGTCAAATTTCGGTCAGGTCATATGTTTTCTTAATCTCAGCGAGATGGGTAGAGACTAAAATTTTGGTCTGACGTCTATTACCCAGACTAGTCTCTACCCATCTAGCTTGGGGGGAGCCAGTTTTCCTGGTGTGGGATATCCGGGGGAAATCCTACTTTAGAGCCAGTTTTTCTACTCTAGAGCCAGTTTTCCGGGGGAAAGATTTTAGGGGGGAAAGCCTACTCTACAAGATCTGTACCGATTCTTCATTTTGTTTTTGAAATTAGTTACTAGTAATATGCAGTTTCTAAGAAATATTTACATCCACTGAATATTTTCTCCTTTATTTCTTAAGAAACCCCATTGCGTTCATCACTGCATAAACTACAGTAGGCTGTACAGATTTCTTAATCAGTGGCTGTTCCATCAATGAAACCTATAAAGACGTTCGCATAATTAATACAATAATTAATCTTTTTAATCCTACTTTAATTGATTATTTAAACAGATATAAATATAAACAATAAAATGTCTTTCTTTGTTTGTTATTACTGGAATGAACGGTCGCAGCTATTGCAGAAAAAATTTACATAACCCGCTTACGCGGGTTATGTATTTTTTCTGCAACAGCTGCTTCCGTTCATTCCAGTAACAACAAACAAAGAAAGCATTTTATTGTTTAAATAATTATTAATTCCATGGCACCTGGATCAGGGATTCTGTTGTTATGGTGGGGCTGTATTGGTTTTATAGTAAAAAATCGTTCAATTCTTTGAAAATCTCCTCTGTCCCTGGGTAGAGGTAATCTACGTCATTACGTTGATCAGGAGTGCCTACTCCAAATTGTGAAATTATGACCCCAAGGTCAGGAGTTCTGTGTTAGGGGCATCTATTTATTATAAAGTAAACGTACGTTATCTTATTTTATTTAATTTTTTAAAAAAAATTCCTCTCTGCTACTGGGAAGAAAGTTAAACAAACAGATCAAGTACGTAATTTTGATAAACAAGGGTGCTTTTTTAAAAATTATGAATATCATAACATATCCACCCCCTTTTGGGTGAGAGTTTCTGGTGTAAAGACAGGGCTCTACTGAATATATATTGAAATGGGATTAAAACTTTTTGCAAGGGTGCCTTTTTAAAAATTATGAATTTCATGACATATCCCTCCCCTTTTGGGTGGGCCTTTCTGGTGTAAGGACAGGGCTCTATTAAATATATACCGGGGTATTGAAATGGGATTAAAACTTTGAAAAAATCCTTTCCTCTGTTACTTGGCATTTAGCAGATACACCAAGTGCTTTTCATGATGAGCAAGAATGTTTCTTTTTAAATTGTAAAATTGGTGATCTCAGTCAAAAGTTTAGGAGGGAGGTTGAATATACAGCATTCATTCTTTGAAATCTTTTTCTCTGCTCCCTGAGTGCATATAGCAGACAAATAAAATGCAAAGTTAATATAATATGAGCAAGAATGCTTTGTCAAATAAATTTGAAATGCATAACCTTTACGGGCTCAGTGAATATTGTGCTCCTCAGGTGGCTAAATTATCGTATTGACCCGCCCCCCAAAAAAAACAGCAATAATTGTATACATGTAATGAGCTTTTTTACAGCACGAAAATAGCATTTCCATTGGTTTACGTTCAATTTCTACCGTGTGGCACAATGGTAATTAAGAAAGTCTGCTCTAGAGTCGGGGAGTATGGAGCTAATCCCTACGTCATTGGTTAGAATCTACTGCGGGGCGTAGACACGTGGTCAATCGGGTACGTTTAAACCGAGTCCTGTGTCGCAGTACATGTAGGTGTTGGTACGAAAAAAAAAATTCGAGGAAAATTCCCTCACCGCTCAATGACCCTGAGACTAGCCCGAGTGCCGAGTATGGGTATAAATATGGCGCCCTGCAACGGCAAGTGGTGGCGTCTCCATATGAGTGAAAAACTCGATCTCTAGAGGGACGTTGAACAACAAACAAATGTTCAATTTTTCTGTAAACTGCATGGAATGTAAATCTTATAAACGAATGTTTTTGTTTCAATATTTCTTCTAAATTCATTTTTGGAATTTGACAGAAAATCTAGTTTTGAAAACATTTTCTGCTATGTATTGATCTCTCGAGACTTACATTCAGTGCCTAACAAGAAATACAAATGGAAAAATGACAAAAAAAAACCCTTGTATTAAATTAGATTAAGCAATGATGAAACAATTCCATTATCTAGTGACGTTATTGACAGCGAATTTCAATTTCATTTCTGTTGGACAGCCACTTTCTAATCGTCGAGCTCTACATTTCGTTTGTCATCATCAGCATCTTCAAGAAAGAAACAGATGTTGCAAATACATGAAAATCAAATGTATAACCTAAATCCAATTCAGATTGATGAGAGAGAAAGTCTTTTTTATTAATATCTTTGGATATATTTTTGAGCATAAGAAATTTACTGGCATTCCAAATTCATGTATACACGTACTAAATCACGTATACCAATTTGGTTTGCACTGTTGCGAACATCGTCTTATTCAGCATTGAATTTTAAGCCACATTATATAAATGGTGCCTGTTTTGGAGGGTAACATTTGAAATTGACACCCCTCGGAAAAACCATTGTCAACCGACGCGTCAGCGGAGGTTGACAATGGTTTTTCCGAGGGGTGTCAATTTCAAATTTTTTTATTTTATTATACTGAATGTCTTATTGATTTAGGACGTTCGATCGTCTTGACGTTCTTTCACCGGTTCATAATTTATTGTTAGTTTGATACTCGAATTAGAGTCATTTATCTATAAAGTTTCGTTATTTCTGGTATTCGCAAGAATCGTCTGTCGTTTGTTGTTTTTAAGCTATATCACATTAACAATATCATGGCTTTCATAATTTCCACGCATGTGGCATTACCGTTGTTACCCGTTGTCACGTGTGTTGCTAAGGCTCAGGGTAATCGAACGGATTGTTAACTGCGTCTAAACCAATCAGATTTTAGTATTTAACATGAAAGTATAATAATAAATAATATCATGACTTTCAATACTATATATAGTTTACAATACATTGTAAATTTGAGTAGTTGTACTCACCGACACAAGAAAAGGTTACTTCTAGGTATTTAGTAGTCCCCCGACAGGAGTTACCAAACACTCGTGAGCTAGCCTTCAGTTTGCATCGCCTCCTTCCATTACATCGACGTTTGACGATTTTCTTTGTCCTCTCATTCACGCAATCGTCCGTCAACAGATGCCCACGTGGACAGGTGAAATAGTCTGTCCGACCGTAGTTAGCATAGTGTATCTTAATGACGGTACCATGCCAACATTTCAGGCTCATTTTATGGTTTTGGCAAACTGAATTTGTGGTTCTCATTCCTTTCCAGTGCCATACTAAAGAAAATTACAAATTATCTTATTATTCATTGTTGAAGATTTTTTTAAACTCTTGCTCTGCAATAATTTCAGAAAAAATAAATATGTTTATCAAAGTTAAGATAGATTAGGCAAATGTGTATTGTAAACGATTTTTTAATTATTTAAGAAATAAATAACAAGTTTATAAACTTCAACGGGAATTGAAGTGGGTCGGTCACGTGATCAAATCCTGTGAAGGCCGAATAGATTTGATTTCCCATTGAAGTTTATAAACTTGTTATTTATTACTTTTATATACATTTGAGACAGACAACTGAATATTTTCGAATTTAAATTATTGCACTAACCGTCCGTCGTAGATTTTGAAAAATGACGCAAGGTGTAAATCGGCTTGCATGGCGGTTACGCTTCAAATTCATTAGGCTTTTATTTCGAAGGGAATATTTTGTGAAAGGCTACTTGTGATCAGTAATAGTGAACAGATTGTTGTCTGGGAATATTTTATTCGTGAAAATGATAATGGATGCTGAAAAAACACAAGAAACACGTCCGAAGTTTGATGATAAAAAGTTGGAGGATTTTCGGTCGCTGGAAAGGGATGGATGGATCCGACATAACTGAGACACTTGTCCGAGCCAGTTAATTTGCAATTTGATCAAAAATATTCCACGGTTTCAGTAACTAAAGGCATACTTATCGTAAAACACTGATAAACACGGAGACACTGGCGACAGCTTTATATTGAACTACGAAAACACCGAGGTGTTTGGCAGCTGTTCATGGCATGATTGCAAAGATATTTTCCAACAGATTTACACATTTATCGTGAGTAAAATTTAAAGATAAAATAAAAGTTTATCATGAAAATTTAACCAAAGGTCTATCCAAAAAAAAGGATGAACGTTAGAGACTGTGCAGCTGACAAAAGTGAAGAAAAATGTAAACAAACGCTAGGCTCCTAGTTTTCTCTATGTACACAGGTTGAATCGATAGCCCAAAAACTGTATGAAATACTTGTTTACATTTAAAATAAAATAATTATCATTTTACTTGCTTATTTTATTCATTTTTATACACGAAAAGCAAGTAGAGCACGTCATTTTAAAATTTATGTACCGGTAGATATTATTGCGCCGTGTGATTAGGTCACGTATTGACCTCTGACCTCTGACAAACTTCATACAGAATTGAAGATATTTTCTCTCTGTATGTTTATATAATGGAGAGATACCACAAATGTATATATATCAATATAACGAAAGTTTTAGGATTATTTAGAGAAAAAAATTGAATATTTTATTTATCAATCTGGAAACACTTACACCAAGCGATTCCATCTGAAAAAAAAGACAAGAGAAATTAAGTTCGGTTTTATTTGGTATCAAACAAACATACTAGTAATTTTTATGGTTTTTAGTATACTCTGCCTATAAAACATTGAAAACAAGAATAAGTAAAGAAAATTAAATTGCTAATAAAAAAATCCCTTTTGGCATAAAAAAATCTTACCGTCGAATAAAAACACGAGACACACTAATAGAAGCCAGATCTTCATTTTGCCAAATAATGAGAAAAACTACCATCGTTCTTGCTTTTAATATGGTCGCTGATGATGATCCTACTCACTTTTACACAACACTACCTGGTCTATGTCAACATGAATATTTGTACAGTGTCAAGCTACTTTCATTGTTGTCGATAAAAAGTGTCAACCCCATGCAAAAAATGAAATGAAATACAAAGATAACACACAGGATGAAACTTTGTCTTTCAGTTTACTGAACGGTAACTGAAAGTCTCCTAAAATGTGATTGATTGACAGAACTCGGCATTCAGTTTTTCAATAATCAGCAGTTGACTGAATGGTGTAGGTTGATCCTATGACAAACAGCGATAAAGTTGAGAGCAGAACAAACTAGAACCTCGAAAAACCTCAGAAGTAGGATCAGGTGCCATAAAGTAGAAACATCCACAGTAGACCGGTCACATCCGTCAAATTCTACTTCTCATGATTGGGCAAACGTTCATAGATAACTCGGTCTGAAAATAATGGTCTAATTCTTTTCATGAAAAACATCATTCATCATTCTACTTAAGAAATAAAGTCCGCATTTTCGTGAATGTTGCAGGATAACCTCCGAGGTCGAGAAATGTTGTTTGAAAGATGGCTTTTATATTTCAAACAACATTTCGAGACCGAATCATGTTCCTCTTTTTACTAAAATCACGTTGTTTAAATGCGTAGGGAGGAATAGCCCCGCTTGGCTATAATTTAAAAACCGACATTCATCAGCAACTTGATGCAATTTACAGTGTTCAGACTGCAAAAGACGGCACACTGATGTGGTCTAAACAAGTATTTCGTTTTAGAGTCAAATATTTATTTCAACTGTACAGGTTTGATAGGTGTTCCTAATCTGACATTTTTTTGATGACGTTCGTGATTTATTGGAGAATAATGTCCGCGGCTTTTCTTTGAAGTCGGCAATAATCGTGGTAGAATTAATGATATATTGTACATGTATTTGCTGACAAGTTTGCGAAATTTTGACTTTAAACGAGACTGTTAATATCCTTGTTTCATAAATAAATTAATTGTCAATAACCTGATTCGTTTTAGAAATTGTACATCAGCTGAGCATAGAATCAACTGGGAGACATCCTAGTAAATATCCATACTCAGATGATAGTGAAAAATGGCTACATAGGTAAGAGAAGCTTACGATAGAAATGGAAGAGTTATTGTAGAAACATTATCCACTCTTCGAGCAAAATTATATTATTTTAGTATTACTGAAATAGTAAATATTGTGTCATTTCCTAAATCCAAAGATCAACAGAAAAACGATATACAAAACAATTTTGTTCATAATGAAAGTAAAAACAGTTATAAGAGATTGTTTCATATAAGACATGCATTATAATCGCCAAGATCGTCAAAATATTTACTGAAATTTAAAAACAAGAGGCCCAGGGGCAACATCGCTCACCTGAGCAATTGGCTAGGAAAAAGCACACATCAGATCAGAACTGAAAGTTTACTGAGGGGGGGGGGGGGGGGGGCTTGAATTTTAACCCCCCAGGGGGTCATGATTTGAACATTGCTTGAATCCACACTATCTAAGGATGATTCCTTAAAAATATCACTAAGCATGGCTTTAAAGTACTAGAAAAGAAGATTTTAGAAGGTTTCCCTGGAAATTCCTATGTAAAATTTTTATCGGCCATTTGGCCCCACCCTACCCTCGGGGGGTCATGATTTGAACAAATTTGAATCTACACTACCTGGGAATGATTCCATAGGAGTTTCATCTTTCCTGTCTCAGTGGTTCTTGAGAAGAAGATTTTTCCTATATATTCTTAATTTCCTATGTTAAATTTTGATCTGCCATTTTGGCCCCATCCTACCCCCGGGGGTCATGATTTGAACAAACTTGAATCTACACTACCTGAGGATGATTTCAAATGAGTTTCATCTTTCCTGGTCCAGTGGTTCTTGAGAAGAAGATTTTTAAAGATTTTTCCAATATATTCCTATGTAAAACTTTGATCGGCCATTTTTGCCCCACCCTACCCCTGGGGGTCATGATTTGAACAAACTTGAATCTACACTACCTGAGGATGATTTCAAATGAGTTTCATCTTTCCTGGCCCAGTGGTTCTTGAGAAGAAGATTTTTAAAGATTTTTCCTATATATTCCTATGTAAAACTTTGATCGGCCATTTTGGCCCCACCCTACCCCTGGGGGTCATAATTTGAACAAATTTGAATTTACACTACCTGAGGATGATTCCAAATGAGTTTCATCTTTCCTGGCCCAGTGGTTCTTGAGAAGAAGATTTTTAAAGATTTTTCCTATATCTTCCTATGTAAAACTTGGGTCGGCCATTTTGGCCCCACCCTAGCCCCGGGGATCATGATTTGAACAAACTTGAATCAACACTACCTGAGGATGATTCCACATGAGTTTCATCTTACCTGGCCCAGTGGTTCTTGAGAAGAAGATTTTTAAAGATTTTTCCTATATATTCCTATGTAAAACTTTGATCGGCCATTTTGGCCCCACCCTACCCCTGGGGGTCATGATTTGAACAAATTTGAATTTACACTACCTGAGGATGATTCCACATGAGTTTCATCTTTTCTGGCCCAGTGGTTTTTGAGAAGAAGATTTTTTAAAAATGCCATTATTTTTTCTCTAATTCATTATTATCTCCCCTTGGAAAAGGGCGTGGCCCTTCATTTGTACAAACTTGAATCCCCTTTAGCCAAGGATACTTTGTAGCAAGTTTGGTTGAAATTGGCCCAGTGGTTCTTGAGAAGAAGATGAAAATGTGAAAAGTTTACGACAACGACGCCAACGACGACGACGACAACGACAACGCCAACGACGACAACGACAGACAACGGACAAATTTTGATCAGAAAAGCTCACTTGAGCCTTTGGCTCAGGTGAGCTAAAAAGATGAAAATAATGTACAAGATAATATATCAAGAAAATATTCTTTAACATTGTTGAAAAGAAAATGATGAAAAAACATTTTAGCATGATCTGTAAGCCATCAAGGGAAATCCGGGATTTAATACACTGTACATTGTAAAAATATTCCTGATGTCTTGCCAACATAATAATAACAGAATTAGTTCCTCTTTTTCCATTGAATGAAGATAATTTTATCAACAAATATATTTCTAAGAACTTTTTCATATTACGTGTATTTTTTTTTTTTATTAAATAAATGCGGTTCCACATGGAATTGTATATTTTGGTTATTCTGCTTCACTGGAATAAAAATATCTTTTAGCTGTTTACAAAATATAACCATAATTCATGACTTGCACTATCTTTATTTGTCCAATTTTCCCCTTACCGAGAACAAGCAGCAGGTTGTGAAACGCCAATTAAACAAACAAAAATTTATATGTAATTGAACACATTTGGTATATTTGACTATGAGTCTGTATGCATATGAGCAGAATGACTAATATTTACTGCAACGACATCTGCTTGTATCCTTTTTAAGGGTGCGATTCTTCTTTGAAAGTATTTATCGATAAAGAATACCTTTAATTTTGTGTAAAAGATGAGAAAAAGCAGACACATTTTCATACAAATGCTAAGGCATTTGTAAAAAAAAAAAACGATTTTCCATATAATAAATATATAATGTATTTATTAAATGTGTAATAGAGAACAGAGCAGATCATATACCACTCTGCTTCAGTCAACGTTGAATGTAATGATAGACTGTATTTGCTTACAAGGTCATTGTATCACCCAAAGTTGGCTTTAAACGAGATGGTTGTTATATCATCAACTTATTTTTCGTTCTAGGAATTGTTCGTACTTGAAACATACTTGTGTATCGAATCAATTTGGAGGCATAAACTCCGCATGAAGGTTATTATTGTTTATTGCTTTTTAATAAGTTCAGGATAGAAGAGTTGAAATCGTTACTTTTATCATCAAGTAAGAAAGTAAGGATCTCCATATATTGGATTACAAAACTTCACAAAAATTCTTACAGAGATACAAGCAGGTTCAAGTTCTACCATGCCTCTTTCTTTACTCCTTACTAAATTATTAGCAGTAGTGAAAGAGAAACTACAGAAGTACTGTGTAACAATACATTTTAGAAGTAGTGTAAATCAGATGTGGATACTCGAAGATTCCAAGGAGCATTTGGAAAATTTGAAAACAAAAGATTTTACCAAAATCAACAGCTTAAAAAGTTGCGACTTTTCAACTTTATATCAACCATTCGGATTCCCTTAGATAAATTAAAGTCCACGCTTATTGATATCATTGACAGCTGCTTTTTCAAATAAAATGAAACTGGTCAATATACTTACATTGTCATTTTGCAAACTTATTTTGTTAAAAAACATTCTGATTGTATGATATTGAAAAGATGTTTGAATTTTTGATTGACAAGCTACTGTTCGTTATCTCCACAAAAATCATGAGTGGCTTATTTGGAGACGAGGTCTTCCAACAATCTATTGGAATTCCCATGGGTAACAATTGCGCCCCCCCCCCCCGTTATTAGCAGGCCTATTTTTGTATTCATAGGAAGCAGAATTTGCCCAAAAATGTTATTAACCGACATACATCACAATTCTTTTGTTTTTATTTCCAGCATTTTCCGTATATGATTATGTATATTATGAAGAAAAACACCAGCGTTATGTGTATGGAAGAATCAAAGTAATAGAAAGTAATAAATTCTTAATTTCCACACTAATTTCATTCCTCCAATTTTCTTTTAAGTCACTTTTCAGCTTTCAATGGCTAGTAGGTTCTTATTTATGAGTTAATGCTTAACAAAGTAGACAATTGTTGTTACTTTGATGGAAATTGTTACATTGATTAATGCATTGGTTAATTAAGATCTATTTTTGTGTTGTTTTATTTATTTCTTAAAAAGAAGGTACATGTATAGAAATTATGTAAGAATACAACGTTATTCTGAAACAAATATCACTTAGTGAAGAAAAAAATAAAATCCCTTACAAGACTTTTAGTTCAAATTTTGCGAATTTCTTCTTACTTACTGATGGAGTGTCTCTCTTTTCAGAGATATTCCCATAGAAATTATATAGATATTATTCCAAAGGTATATATTATTGTTGTAATTATAAGTCAAACAAATGCTGCAACTACTTTAATAAAATTCAATTTACATAAATAACAGAACACTATGAAAATTTTAACAATGTGTTGTTTACGGTCTAGTCTCTATAAAACAACATGTCTTCTTCATATGCAACCCAACAATCATTTAGCATCCATGGGCCAGTTTATCTTCGATAACCATATAGTCTCCGATTATCTTAAAGTATGCACACTTGTTGACACCCTTCCCCTCTGCAAGTGAGAACGATGTGGTTCCGTATTTTACATCTGCCTTTAGATTTCCGGTGCTGTCTTTATTAAGACTGACTGTATATTTACATTCGTTGCTATAGTGAGAATCATAATGACAACTTCCAGAAATCTTGTAAATCACTTTGCAATCTGGACCCTTTTCTTGTTCAACATCACATTCCGCTAAAAATTGGAATATTGTGATAATTATGCACAAATGGGTGAAATGCTAGTCTTATTTTAGTCAAATTTAAAGATCAGAATTTTCATGATATTTACTGAGTATATATAAAATAAAATTCCTTTCTGTGCTACCATGATAACATCTTTGTGGTACACTTTCTTAAAAATAAGCATTGCAAAATAATCCAAATAACAAATATGTTTGCACTCAGTATACAAGAAAGCAGCTTCCTTCCTTGTTAATTAAAAAAAGAACAATATTAATATAGTCTTAGACATTGAAAACTTCTTCAAAAATAATACATTACCGCATTCTGGGATGTCACAGAACTCCCATCGTTTGTCCTTGTTTGTTGTATAACACCAGGGCTTGGGTTCTCCATCCGGGTTCCTACAGTAGTTTTCCTGATTTCCCAGACTTTTACCAAAGGAGTGACTGTGTGGTGTTTGCGAAGACCAGGCCTGACATGTTAAACCAGATTTTGTGACATTTTTGGTTCCCAGGTAGTTTTGACCTTTAGGTTCACTAAGGCATTCTAAAAACGCGAAGAAAAGAAACATTTTTCTAATGAATAAACGTGTCTATACAATTTCAATTGTGTTGAAAAAAAGCTTACTTTAGAAAAAAATGATAAAATTAAGAAAACTTGGTGAGAAATGCTCTGTAATTGGCTTTACCTTCTGCCTCACCAGCCTTGGGTGCTTCTGATATAAAAAAAAAAAACCGGTTACATACACAATAATAGTATTAGGAACAATGCTGTTTTGCTTTATTTTTCATTGATATGTATCTTGATATTCTCATTAAAAACAAATTAATTATCAAATTGATGCATTCGAGTACTCAGTAAGTTAATAAAAAAACTTATCCTTGTAAATTCATAGAATGAAATATATGGAGATAACGAACAATATTCGAGCTTAAAACTCAACAAAACAATACAAAATATAGGAGTAGAGCAATGTAGAAAAGACTGACCACACTGCTTTAGATCACAGAACTCCCATCTGGTGTTAGGATCAGTGGTATAACACCAGGCGTGAGGTTCCCCGTCAGGGTTTCTACAGTAGTTGTTGGGTAGGGAGGTAAAGCTATGTTTGTGAGGGCTCTGAGATGACCAAGCTTGGCAGGTTTTGCCAGACTTGGTCTTATTCCACGTTCCTGTGTAATCGCTGCCATCAGCTGTCTTTATACAATCTACATAAGGAAATACATTTGTTGAAAAACCTGTGTTTTTTTTAATTAATACGATGTTTTCTTTTTTATTTTTGAAATTTCAATTATTCTAACATAACACTGTTTAAAAAAAAACTTCTAGGTAAAATAATCACCGTTTGAAACTTCCTCTTCGACGGCTGCAAGAAGAATATGAAGTTATTAGACATTTCCAATAATAAACATTTTTTCTACAATAAAAAAGTATGGATTCATAAATATTTTTATGCATCCTTGTACCTTGTCTGTAACACACTTCAAATTTCCCGCCACATTTGCCTGACACCCATACTTCGTCGCCATGTCTTCCATAAGTTTTTCCCGCCACACAATCGGTGCCCGATGACTTAGGGTCTACGCTGAGAACGAGTTCAGCTTTTGGCACGATACAAACTGATCTTTCACCACCAGTGGAATTACACTGTATCTCTTCTTTTGTGTCTTTACAAATTGTTGGGGCTTTTACAGCTTTAAATAATGGAAAATTTTAAACATTAAAACTTTTGTAATTTTAGCTTTTACCGTAAAACTTTGCGTGAAAGTCATAAAAAACTTTTTTGAAACATCAACATTTCATCCATCACAAGAAACCTACTGTGTATAAAATAATCTTTAAAAAAATGCATTCAATTGGTTTTCATTGAATAGATACGTACTTGGTAGTTTATACACGGCTATTCTCCATGATCCGCCACAGCCTTGCTTCTTGTTTCCGGTACAGGGACGCATGCAGTCAGTATCAGATCTCTTATTAGCTGAGGTCATGCTGATGCCACAGAAACACTCATCTTTCGCCTGTATTCAAACAGCAGTTGTTTTTTATTTTACTTGTTTTAGAATTCTAAATTTTCTTCAATGCGATAATGTTCAAACACAATGCCTTCTCAAGTTTGACAATACATATAAATTCGACCCTTTTACCAAGGCAAAAATGTTTAATCTTCTGTCATTCTTACCTCCAAACCATAAAAATTTGCTTTTTCTTTTTTGCAAATATCTCTGCATTTTTCCACAGTCATACTTGAAGATCGTGTTTTCTTTCCGGATAGTGTTCTTTTAATGAGAGTATCTTCATAACAGCCTTCATATCCTTGATAAAACATAGAATAGTTTTTAAATATTCAAATGTTAATTTTTATCACTCTGTGAAATTAAAATTATTAATTCAGATATCATAGATACATACCTGTCTGCACTATAGTCACTGAAATTATCGGAAAAAATGAAATTATAGATTGAATATAGAACATTATATTGGTATTATCTTTTACTCCATTTGTATTTTGAATCCGAATGTGTATGCAAAAATCAATTTAGATTTTAAATTTTTTTTTGTTGAAAAGTACATATGATTAATATTTATATATTCGTACTTTTAAACTTCATATACATTAAAGAAGTCTTCGTCATATGTATGTGAAAGATTATACTTATTCCTGCATCCATATGTAAAACTGATTTAAACGGTTTTACATTAAGTTATATGCTAAAATCAACCAAACTTACATGGTACAAACTTAGTGTTCTTGTACACAGCGAGCCTCCAGCTTCCTCCACACGCCTGCTCACGGTCCCCTGTACACGGCTTCATACACTCACTGTCAGACTTCTTCTTACTCAGCTTATGTCCACAGAAACACTCGTTACCATTCTGGGATGAACAGAAAAAAAAGTAGAAAACAGTTATTAATAGGAATGTTTTATAACAGGCTTTTGCTTCAAAAAGGATTCAATAAATTATATATTTCATTGTCAGAAGATTTTGATTATGACGAAAACAAAACCGTTGACAAAATAGAGCTGTTCTTACCTCCAGGCCATAGTATTGGGTGTCAGCGGCTACACATGTTTTCTTACATTTATCAACAGTCATAGTCTTTGAGCTCGTTTTCTTCTTGCCAAGAGTTCTCTTCCATTGGTCAACATGACAACCAACGTAGTCTAAAATCAATTACTAACTTTTTTTAATAATAACTAACCTTAAAGTAACTAGCCTTAAATAAATTTCATAAATGTCAGTTAATTTTATTTTAGTTAGGGTTTATAAAAGAAAATAATCTCTTACCTTTTTTAACAATAGCAGCTGAAACGAAATAAATTTTAAGTTACATCCAAAAAGCATATGTATGTGTCAGCATTTATTTGAGAGCTTTGTATAAAATATTAACATACTTGGTTTGAAGTTGGGGTTTTGGTAAACTCCCAGTCTCCAGCTCCCACCACACGCCTGCTCCCGATCTCCCTTACACGGGGTCATGCACTCACCGTCCTTCTTCTTGTGAGACTGAGTCAGTTTGTTACCACAGAAACACTCATTGCTAGCCTTTACAACAAACAAAAGTATTTCATGAACCAAATGAAACGCTTTTGCTGTGTTGTTAGACTTCATACTATTATTTAAAAGAAAATTCTTAAAATTTTTATGAAATAAGTCTTTCGAATCTAAAATGTAGGGTGATTGTGTGAGTACCTCTACTCCATAGTACTTGTATTTTAGACCCGTGCATATCTTTCTGCATTTATTGACAGTCATAGATTTTGAGGTGGTTTTCTTTGCCTTTAGTGTTCGGCTTCTTTGATCTTTGTAGCAACCAACGAACTCTACAAGAATTTATCTACTTAGTTATAATACAATGTACTGTTCATTAGAAATAATCCATTCAGCAGAGGCCTGTGCAACAAAGCGAACGTTTGCGAGCTCTCGCTGAAATTCTTTATACCTCCAGTAGAAATGTCTGCAAGCCCTCGCTCTGTTGAGCAAGCCTCTGATGTGCTCTGTTTCTCGTGTTGATTCTTTAGTAGGAACGACTTTTTATTTCTTTTTGTAGACATAAATAAGCTGACTTAATAAACCATTTCTGTTGTGTCCATAGAAGAACATAAAAGTTTACAGGTGACAGAGGGAAAGAAAAATTACAAATTAAGTTTTAAAACTGTGTTCTTTAAAAAATATTTGGTTTTGCTTGTTTATTAATTTAATGTCCTTAGAGGATTTTTTACTCATGTTGAGATGCAATCTCAGCCCAGTGGAGGACTGCAAATTTAAACCTGTATTAGACACATAGGGACTTTTAACAGGTATCAAATTTGTGCCAGCACTTGCTGCTACAAGGGACCTTGGTTTAAATGGTCTCATCTTATTGACTCCAAGTCCTTACGAATCAACTCTTCACTCGGCATCTCTAGAACAAACGCTCTAACCACTGCGTGGTGCAGGCGACCAATTAAAGATATATTATTAGATGAATTTATGAAAAGTATTAAATGAAATTTTACTGAAATTTTAACTCACCTGATTTGACAATGGCCGCTGAAACAGAACAAAAGGCATTAAATATTTTGTTTCAAGTAAGACATGATATTTTATGCATGTGAAAGTCTTACACCACTTTATCAAACTTCATTCATCCATACTTGGTTTGAAGTTGGGGTTTTGGTAAACTCCCAGTCTCCAGCTCCCACCACACGCCTGTTCCCGATCTCCCTTACACGGGGTCATGCACTCACTATCCTTCTTCTTGTGGGACTTGGTCAGTTTGTTACCACAGAAACACTCCCTCGCAGCCTAAAATATCAATTTCTCTTCACGTCTTTTTTTTTGTCGATAAAAGTCTGCTTTTCATAGTAAAGTTAAATTATGACATTATCACTTTACCTCTACACCATAATATTTGTATCTGAGATCCGTGCATATCTTCCGACATTTGTCTACTGTCATAGAGTAGGATTTCGTTTTCTTTTCTTTGAGAGTTCTGGAGTATTGATCTTTGTAGCAACCCAAGTATTCTGAAATTATTTAATCGTCTTTATCATACCCCATTAATTTTATTTTATCATAAAAATAGCATAAAAATATGAAGTTATTCAGCCGACAGCCATTATATTCAGTATCTTTAGATGGGCTCAAGAATCAGCTACTGTCATAAAAAGAAAGTCTTACCCTTCTTCACGATTGCAGCTTAAAAGAAAAAAAACGTGAACATATTAAACAAAAAGAGTTTAAATTCAAGTCCTTTAAATGATTTTAAAAAAAAACAACAACTCTATTTTCCTTTTTGCAAAACAAATTCGTTTGAAAAATTACAGCTTAATCTTCGCACCTACATGTAGCTATAATGATCATGCTTGTCAACTGTGTCGAGAAAAATTCATATATATATGTTTAATCATGCTCGAGGTACTAAGGAACATTTTTTAAAATATGTTCATCTTATGCATACGGACGTGTTTCTCATTTTACATATTTTATATGTTTAACACATGTTTATCCGCTCCTATTTTTGACGTATCTCATGACTTGTACTTTTATTCATTACTTACTGTGTTGGAAAGCGGGGTTTTCGTATACGGCCAGTCTCCAGCTTCCTCCACACGCCTGAGATTTATCTCCCTTGCAGGGCTTGGTACACTCACCATCAGCCTTTACCACTTTCTTTGATAGTTTGAGACCACAGAAGCACTCATCTGTTGCCTACAAATTCACATTTTAAAGTGGCAATATCACGCATCTCTTCAAAAACAGACTTGTTAAAATTTTCCTATAGGATTTGGAATTTTTTTCATACTCATAAATGTATACCTTTCAGAAAATTACAAATTTTATAAGTAAATAATTCTGATTATTTCATTAAAATTAATAATTATTTATGGTACATAAATATACACATCGCAACGTGTTCGAGGCTCAACATTCCATGCTATACACGCACATGACGCATGCGTATAGTTTTCATAAACAAAACAGCATGGTAAGAGAGGGAAGCCCGGTAGGCCGGCCTGCTACATTGACAAAGTCGACCAAAACGAAAAACAAAACCAAAAATAAGGATTGAAATTAAAAAAAAAACTTTCCTGACAAAAATTTAGTTGGGAAATTAATATAATCATTGGATGAAGAAGAAACGGGACCTCGGCGAAATTCACGTGGGGCTCGCGAAGGTTCTACCCTACAGGTTTGTTGATACATGCTATCATTTCTCGTATCTCCATAGCTTTCAAAGAAAAAAAAATCAGTGTAAACTCAACATAAAAATGCACTTATGACATATAAAAATTATTGCCATTTGAAGTGCAAATTGTATTAGAACTACAGAAAGATATTTTGTTTGACATTTTGCCGCGATGACGTACGATTTTGTGGATTTTCCTTTCCTGCACCCCAATACACAAAACGTCAAACATTTGTGCTTAATCATGTTAAATTCGTCTGAATGCAGACTGAAATGTTAATTATTATTAATTTACTGGAGAGTTAAGATATTTTGATTCTGAGAATTGCTTTTACCTAATATTCCATTATAATTGTAAACCCTACATTGTGTGCACGTGCCATTTTAGTCAACAGATCTAAGTTGTACGACCTTTGATATTCCGGCAGATTCTAATTACGTTAATTTTGTAAGAGGGGAGAATATTTATTTTTCTCAAAATGCTTACTTCAAATTTTTACCCTATTCCTGAATGATATATTAGGTAAATTTGAATGAAAAATCACACGATTTGCAGTCGTATTGCCGCTTTATGTTTTTCTCCAAAAAATAAGTATTTCATGATGGAAACCGATTTTATTTCATTTTATTTATTTATTTAAAGGCCAATTACTTTTTTTCAAATAATTCTTAGTCATGGAAAATGCTTTGGTATTTGGATATTGTAAATCATTTGTGATAAGTTTCCCCTTTATTTTAATGAGAATAGTATTGCCTTATTCCGTAGCAGTAACAATCTTCACTTCTAAACTACTTAGAACCGTTTTTAAAGGAAATATATTTAAAGTTACTGTAAACCAATAATTAGAAATATTTATCAATAGTAACATATTATCCTAACTATATTACAAAGTACTGTAAATGTATTATATTTCGCGTGTACGATATTTGGCGGAAATTTAGTGTTGAACAAGTTAGCTTAGATTTAATTTAGCGCATTTCTTATCGTTCTTATTTACGTATATAAGTACAAAACATTTAGCGTTATACTTGAATTAGCAGAAGTGTCTTTCCGCCAAAACGCTAAAAAAGATTACACAGCCAAATGTAATACGTTTACAGTATGACAGTTGAAATGAGAAGTAAATTATTCTCTACATATTATATGTATGTATTTATTCCATCTTACTTTAATAATATACATAGTTTTTTATGACAGAAAGCATTTTATTATTTTATTTTTACTTTAAGCGAGTGTTCAGTAAAGTACTTACCTCTAGACCATAATATTTCATTTTCAAATCAAGGCACGTTTTTCTACACATGCTAACAGTCATTTTCTTTGACGTTGTCTTCTTGTCTTTGAGTGTTCTCGCCCGCTGATCTTGGTAGCAACCCACAAATTCTATACAAATTAGCAAATATTATATTGCTTCAGTAATTCAAATCCTGACATTTCAAACCAATTTAATGTACCGGTATAATTCTTTTAAAGAGTATTATGGTTTTCAAGTGAATATAGAAATGATGTACTAAATGAATTCTTATATGCTTCTTATAATTTAAAATTCCTTTACACATCTAAAATTTAAACTTGTTATGATTATAATCACTCACCTTTCTGAACTATGTTGGCTAAAAAATTAAAGAAAAGAAATTGATTTTATTATTTTTTTCATATTATCTGAAGCGTATTTTTGTATCGTGACCATATAAAACAAAAAGTTGCATAGATGACATAATCAATAACAATTACTAGTATATAAAGTAAGAAATAAAACACTCAGTATGTTCAGATTTGATATTTGATTTTATTTTTCAGACTTGATAAGACAACATGTGCTCACTTTTATATTTCCTGTTTTTGTAGATGAGTACCCTCCAGTGGCCACCACATCCTTGTTTGATGTTCCCCCGACAGGCCATTAGACAATCCTCTTTATCCTTCTTTTCACGTTTCGTCAAATAGTTCCCACAGAAACATTCCTTCCCTACCTAAATGTAAAAAAATATTTTTTTAAAAAATCGTATAAACTGTGGTTAGTTTCTGAAAATTTCTGTCCAAAATTTAGATTGGTCATAATTTTTTTTTTTATTGAATCAGCTCTTAAAGAAAACACCAATGCTTTCAAAGCAATATAAAATTAAATATTCAGTAGAGAAATATCTTCAAATTTATAGCAGATGCTTGTCGGTAAAAATCAATTGGTAGCACCATTTTTGAATTAACATTACTAAAATTGTCGAATTAACAGTAAGAGTACTAGACTTGAGTCATACAAGTCAATGTTTTAAGACATATATATGCACCTCTAAACCGTAATATTTGGTATTTTTCTTTTCACATGTCAGCTGACATTTCTCCAACGTCATGGACTTTGAGACTGTTTTTCCGCCGTTTAAAGTCCGTGACCACTGGTCTTTGAAGCAGCCGATGAAGTCTTAAAGAAAACAACATTATTGAGTGCTTACTGAAAGGTTTACTGACATTGTCTAGTCAACCAAAGAAAATCCATTTTGAGTACGAATGTACAATGTATATACTCACTTGTGGTAGAAACTTTCGCTATAAAAAAACCAGAAAAGATAAATCAGTTGTTCAAATAAACAGAGCAAAGTGTAATTTGCAAATTCATCTACTTTAGCAACAAGTCAATAAATATAATAATGAAGACTGAAGACTGTTAATTTTGCATTGATAATTTCCTGAACAATAGACATAGCACCAGTAACAAACAACTGAACGTATTTCTGATGTTTGAATATTTAAAATAAATTTCGCTATTGTATGCTACTTATGGTCTATATACAGTGCAAGGGGCCTACTCCTTCATGACACCTAATCCAACCTCTAATAGATTTTGATGTCTGTGTTTCCTCTGCTACAAATTTGTTTTTTTCCAATGGACTCTATTCATAATCTTCATAATTCATTTTTATTAAATTAAACATCGAGGTTTTAAAAAATATACGCAGACTAGGTAACAGTTATCTTTCTTTTATAAAATCGTACTTGGGAACTTGGAGTTGGTGTACACGGCCAGACGCCAGCTCCCTCCGCACCCCTGAGACTTGTTCCCAGAACAGGGCTGGGTGCACTCCTCACTGTTCTTCTTAACTTTCTTTGTCAGTTTGTTACCACAGAAACATTCACGTTTTGCCTGTGTTTACAGAAAACAGAATGAGAAAATTTCTCCCATTTTTTAAAAGGAATACACAATTACAGAATAAATGTAGGGGTTTTTGGATAATCAGCGTCCTACAATACACACTTTAGTTGTTCTATTAATGATAACAAGCTGATTTATAGAAGTACATGTATAGACCTTTTTTCAAAAAAAAAAAATCTGAAAGTATCCCTACCTGTACTCCATAATATTTGTAATTTTTCTTGTGACAAATGTCCCAACATTTCTTGACCGTCATTTTTGATGAGGTAGTTTTATAATCCTTAAGTGTTCTTGAACGCTGGTCTTTGTAGCAACCAAGGAAATCTGTAAGTTCATCGAATATAGTCTTTCTGTTTATTTTAAGGTCACATATAGACACAATAAGTACTTGCACTAAGTTATATCTTATATAATTGTTGATTTCTTAATTTTCTAATTTATTTACTCTACCGTTATTTTTGGAACTTACTTTGACTGATGACGCTAGCTGCAAAACAAACAAAATATCATTCTAGTAAGTATTAATGTCATTAACAAATAAAGAAACGTTTTTGAATTTTTGAATTCTTAGGTTTTATATTATACACATCAATATATTTTATTAAAGATAATTTTTAAAAGTTTCTATCCTGAAGAATTCTCCGAGAACCCTCTATCATACATTTATAAGCTGTGTTTTTGTAGATCAATACTCTCCATCCACTACCACAAGCCTGAGTTCTGTCCCCTTTACACGGGGTCATACACTCTTTGTTTGGTCGAGACTTCTTTTGAGTCAAATAATTGCCACAGAAACACTCCTCGCCGACCTGAATGAAAACATGTGTGTAAGTTTTTTCATTTATTATCATATTGACTGTGGTATTCAGGGGATGTTGATACACTTATGATAATATATCAACTAAAATACAATTCAGGATGAATCCATTTTGGTAGTAACTTCTAATCGGTAAGTCTTTGGAATTGAGGGGATGACCAACTAAAAATATAAATAAAAGCAGATTTTAATACCTCCAAACCATAATACTTCTTTTTCTCACTAATACATCTGTTTTTACATTTTTCAAGAGTCATATCTTTAGATTTTGTTCTTCCACCATCCAGGACTCTGCTGCGCTGGTCAATGAAGCAACCTAATAGATCTGGAGAACAAATAAGAATATTTCATATTAATGACAGGAAATGAATTTGATGCCAAAGGTTCTTTATCTCTTTATAATCAGCAAAATTTAATGCTATTGAAAAATATTGAAATCAGTTTCTTTACTTGCATTTTTCTTTTCTACAGAGATAAGGAATTTATACTACGTTTGTTACCTTTTGTTGAAACGCCGGCTGTAATTTAAAAGGAAAACAAGTAAGTATTTATCATATGGTTCATGATTTTTAAACAATAATCAAATAAACGAACATAATAAGCAAATACTTTTCTTACAATAATTCAGAGTAAGTCTATTTTTTAAACATCGATCATTGGACTAAAGTTCACACCTAAAGCAACGTTTCGCAAATTCAAACTATTATTAAAAGTAATGCTTGAGTTTTGATGTCAGTATAAAACTTCTTTAGATGGATGCACACCTAAATCTATATTTCTAGTTTTTATGTTCAAAAACAATATCCTGACATTGGTCAAAATACGACAAAACCCCATCAAGTGATACATCAACTTGTCTGTCAGTAGTATGCCTTGGGTTAATATAAATTTTTAAATATTATTTTAACATTTAAAGTATAATTTTGAGTATCGAGTAAGTTGGGAAATGCTGTCTTGTTTTTTAATGTTTATAGTCAGTAAAACATTCAAATACTGAAAAGAGTGGAAGACGCTATGGTATCTTCTATTTCAAGTTTCTTGGATATATCAAGTCAATATATGAATATCTGAATCTTTTAACTATAGTTTATCTGAAAAAATACTGTAGATGACAATCAGATGTAAAAACTCAAGCACAAAGATTCCCCCTTAAACTAGTTTACAAACGTAATTTATCGTTCAAGTCCATTAAGAAAAGAGATGGGTGAACATGTCGAGCGATAAGCCAATAGCGCAACAAACATGAAGGTGAAAAATGAAATCTCAGAATATCAAAAAGACTTGTGTAGTGTAGTGGTTAGCGTGCTTGTCTCAATAAAGAATGCAACGGAGGAATTTATTTGCTAGGATTCGAACCGAATGGATTTAACATTAATTTTTTATATGGCAAAGAATAAATTTCAACGAAAATTTTTCCACAGAAATCTTTGTTTATCATGATTTCATAAATATCAATAAATATCAATAATGAGAACTTTACTCTACATACTAAATTCACAATTTAAATATGACTTTTTTATGTGTGAAGCTAGTGGGCTTTCTGCACGCTAAGTTTGCCCATCTCCTTTACTTAGTGAGTATAAATTAATATTATCTATATAATTTGCAACCAAATTCTATAAACAACGAATATAAAACATGGTCGGGTTTATCTGATTTAGTAGATTTTTATCAATTGTAAAATTAAACAACTATTAACACAAATTACAAATCTTAATGCAGTAAAAATAATCTACATAGCATATAACTTGTTAAACTTTGCCTAGATTACTTTTAGTTGGCATATAAATTCACACTTCAAATCTATTATCAAATACACATCATATAATATTCGAAATTATCTTAAGTTTTCTAGGCGTTTTTAAAGATTTTAATATTTTACGTTTCCTGACACATAATCGTGAATAAAGCTGTAAAGATAAGATATTTTGGACTACATAATCATATAAATAACTCTATGTAGTGACTTCCTTTCGGTGTGTTTGAAGTGACTTCCTTTCGGTGTGTTTGGAGTGATTTACTCTTGGTGTGTTTGAAGTGATTTACTCTTGGTGTGTTTGGAGTGATTTACTTTCGGTGTGTTTGGAGTGACTTACTTTTTGTGTGTTTGGAGTTCCTATAGACAGCTAATCTCCAGGGACCTCCACATCCTTGTCTGGAGTTTCCTTTACACTTGTGTGTACATTCACCCTCATCTTTCAACACACTTCTTGTTATAGAGTTTCCACAAAAGCATTCATCTCGATTCTGTCAGAACAGAGTATATGAACATAATATTAAATATGAGATTCAATAAAATGATGAATAAAATAATGAATTGATTGTAATGAAATGAAAGGGGAATGTAAAAAATATGTTCAATTTTTTCAGAATACAAATTATCCCTATGTAAGTATAAGTACTGCAGATAATATTTAGTGAGACAAACACGCTGATCTTACTTTATTTTCTGAAGATAATAATTAGCTTATAATTGACATTTTTATAAATTTTCGCTTGGTTTGATATATTTTAACGTTTGTGAATACAAGTACTTTATCAAGAAAAGCTACTATGAACTGTCAGATGTAATTACTTTTGCCTTTAATCCAACAACGTCACTATTACTCATTATATATAAAGCAAAATTTTCTTTTACCTCTAGTCCGAAGTATACGGAATTGATTTTCTTGTGGGAACAAATTGATTTACATTTTTCAAATGTCATTGATCCTGATCGGGTTTTCTTTCCACCTAGGGTTCTCGCCCATTGGTCTCGATAACAACCAAGATAATCTGAAGCGAATATTAACAATTAAAAATATGCAAGTGTGTGTTCCCTTTAAAATTAAAATGTGAATTTTAAAAATTAATATGTTATACAATATTAACCATTATCTTTGGAAAATCTTACCTGTTTTGACAAGGTTAGCTGTGGAAAGAAAGAAAACGTAGCTACAGGTAATTTAAATGATTATTATAGGCCGTGGAAGTTATCGTTATACGTAGTTTTAATAAATGATTGTTATATATTATGAAAATGTTTCAAGTCAAATGATTGTTCTGTGGTAATGTAAGTGATTGTAAGTGATTTCTACATTTGTAAATGTCTTCGTCTTCTTATAGAAGATTCATTTGGGACATCAGTGTCAACATACATGTGTAATTGTATTTGACATCAGTGTCAACATACATGTGTAATTGTATTGGACATTAGTGTCAACATACATTTGTGATTGTATTGGACATCAGGGTTCACATACATTTGTGACTGCTATTTCTGTAGATGATTACTTTGTTATGGGAAATAAGTGTCTACATACATTGTGTAATTGTATATGACATCAGGGCCTACATAGATTTGTAAGAGTATTGAACATTTTTATCTACATACTTTTGTAATTGTAATTCCTATAGATGACTATTCTCCAGTTGCCGCCGCAGCCCTCGGCTTTGTTTCCTTTACACGGTCTCAGACATTCTGAGGATGACCGCTTGTGGTTGTGTTTCAGGTAATTACCACAGAAACACTCCTCGCCAACCTACAACAGAAATTTACAAGAAAAACTTACAAAGGTTGAGGTCTTAAAAACGACCAGAAAATGTTAAAATTAACATTATAAAGATTAATTTCTTGCAAATACGACACAAGTGGCGTTTTATACGTCAATTAACTTACTTCTAATCCATAGTACTTTTTGTTTTCTCTTTGGCATCGAGAACGACAAACAGACAGCGTCATGGATGAAGACTTGGTTCTGCCACCGGTCAAGACCCTGTCGCGTTGGTCCTTGTAGCAGCCCACCAGACCTTACAGAGAGTTCATAGGTATGTTTAAATAGCCAGTATTTTGTAATTGTTAGTACTGATATTTAAAGATATCTTTAATATGATTGAAATTGAAGATGGCTGTGTATTCAAAATTAGCTGCCAAGAAATTCTCACTCATTTTGACAATTACCTCGGGATATCGTTTTACTAGAGCATATTAGTAACAGATGGGGGGGTTCCAAAGACAACAAATAAATTTGTTAGATACGTATCCATGTATAGTTTGAGTCGCAAAAGCAATTCTTATTTCTCCTCTCTTAACAGGAATATATTTCCTAAAGAATATTTTGCGTATGTATACATTTTGTTCGACTGGATCATGCGGGAGACAACAAAAGATAGTAAGACAGGGGTCCAGTGGACTTTCACTCAGTGTTTGGAAGACCTTGACTTTGCAGATGATCTATGCTTCATGTCCCAGAAGTATGAGCATATGCAGCTCAAGACAAATAGGCTTGCAAACGAAGCAGCAAAGACAGGTCTAAAGGTGAACATCGAAAAGACAGAGGTGATGCGGCTCCACAACAAACAGCAAACGCCAGTTACTCAGTACACTTGGAGAGCACAACCTTAAAGATGTAGACTCCTTTACATACTTAGGTAGTATTGTCACAGCCACTGGTGGAACAGATGAAGACATAAAAGCTAGAATTAATAAAGCCAGACACATCTTCACCACCCTCAAGCCTGTGTGGAGTTCAACAGCACTATCCACACACATAAAACTCCGCATCTACAACACCAATGTTAAGTCTGTGCTCCTCTACGGGTCTGAAACATGGAGAGTCACCAACACCACCTCCAACAAACTACAAGCCTTCGCTAACAGATGTCTGCGCCACATATTAAACATCAGATGGCCAGAAACTACATGTATAAGCAACAAGAACCTGTGGGAAAAAACAAACCAAGACCCAATCACTAAACAAATAGCCCGCAGAAAGTGGCGATGGATTGGACATACCCTCCGAAATCCACCAGGAACCAAAAGGAACCATGAGAGATACATTTTGTTCGTCAACATCGTCAAAATGCATTCATATCTTTTTTGCATCTTGTATGCAATCGGCATTTTTAGGGCACTCGAATAAACTCAGGAAACCTATTGCTATCCGTTTTCGTCTGTCGCCGTGCGTCGTGTGGTGTGCGCCCTGAGTCATATGTTAACATTTTCACATTTTCAGCTTCTTCTCTGCAACCACTCAACCAATTTCAACCAAATTTGGCATGAAGCATCTATGGGTGAAGGGGAACAAAATCGCGAATTCCATGGTCCCTGCCCCCCTGGGGCCTAAGGGGTGGGGCCAAAACCACTAAAATTAATGCAATCTTTAAAAATCTTCTTCTTTACTCCTGGACATCAAACAGTTTTACTGTTGGCACGATTGTAATCAACATTGAGTCCTCTAACAAAATTGTGAAATCCATGGCCTCTGGGTCAGGGGTTCTAGTGCTAGGGCGGGGCTTTAAAGATTAAATAATGAAAATGCATAAATTCTTTGAAAATCTTCTTCTCCTCTCCTAGATATTAAACAAACTAACCAAGTACATAGTTATGATGAACAAGAAAGTCTCTTCCAAAATTGTGAATTTCATGGCCCCAGGGTCAAAGCTTCTGGTGTTAGGGTAGGGCTGTATTGATTATTCAGTGAAAATGCATGAATTCTTTGAAAATCTTCTTCTCTTCTCCTGGGTATTATACAAACTAAGTACATAGTTATGATGAGCAAGAATGCCTCTTCTAAAATTGTGAATTTTATGGCCCCTGGGTTGAGGGTTTTGGAAAAAGGTCGGGACTCTATTGATAATATAGTGAAAATACATTAATTCTTTAAAAATCTTCTCCTCTGCTCCTGGGTATTAAATAAATAACCAAGTACATAGTTATGTTGAATAAGGCTGTCTCTTCCAAAAATTATGAATTTTATGGCCGCTGGGTTGGGGGTTCAGGTGTTAGGGCTGGGCTCTATTGATTATATACTAGTATTGAAAATGCATGAATTCTTTAAAAATCTTCTCCTCTGCTCCTTGGTATTAAATCAATGAACTATGTACATAGTTATGATGAGGAAGGATGCCTCTTCCAAATTTATGAATTTCAGGGCCCCAGGGTCAAAGGATCTGGTGGGCGGGGATCTAATGAGTATAAAGTGAAAATGCATAAATTCTTTGGAAATCATTTCCTTTGCTCCTAGGTATTGTGCCAATGATCTAAGTACATATTGATGATGAAGAAAGGTACTTCTTCCAAAATGGTTAATTTCAGGGCCCCTTGGTCAGGGGTACTGGGTGGGGGTGGGGGATTACATAGTCTGAAAATGAATTAATGCTTTGAAATCTGCTTTTTTGTATTAATCAACTATTTATGATGAAATAAAATTTATGAAAAAAATTCCAAGATTTTGAAATATGTAGCCCCAGGGTCAGTGGTGCACAACTGGTTATAAAATGAATGCATTTCCTTTGTTACTCTGATCTTCCTCTGGGTATTAAGTCACTAAAGTAAGCATACTTAGTGTATAGTTATAATAAGCAATGGTGCCTCTTTCAAAATTGTGAATTTCATGGCCCCTGGCTTAAAACACGAACCGAATTCAATCGTTGGAAAGTTGTTAAATGATGCTCGGGTGACCTATAAGGTCCATGGGCCTCTTGTTAATTTTGCAATTATCATTCAGTAGGAAGAAGAAAGTTTTTGTACCAAGAAATGTTGTCAATCAAAATATGAGTAGAGTTATATACCATATGTCATATTTTTTTTAAAATTAGAACTCTTAATAAAGAAAGATAAATGTTTGAAACCTCAAAACTTTAACTAAAATAGTTTGAAAGGTGTACCGAAATGTCTAAAAGACGTTTATTTAGTTACCAAATCAAATGTGCAGTCATAATAAAATGATTTCTTCAAAGGAAAGAAACAATGTTCAAAATCAATACATTTATTACATAGTAGTAAAAGTAAGTTTTATCAGTAAGTACAGGCCATTTTGACTCAGATACTGATTCCATCACCTCAATGAACAGGATGCAACAATAACACAAACCAAATGAGAATAAAATCTGGTCTTTAGAATATCCACATTTAGATACGATATATTCCAAGAGGAGGAAAGAGGAAACAAATTGAAAATTCATATTACACACTATAGATTAAATGAAAGCACAACAATTAAGGTCAGAAAAATAGATTTTTTGCCTACCTGAGGTCTGCACTCTTGCTACAAAAGAAAGATTTTTTTTAAGTGTAATGAAATTAGAATACTATAACTTATGATTGCCTCGAATATAGAAGTTTTATCTTATCAGATATAAATTACTTGGCTCTATCCAACATCTAAATTACTTTATTTATTTTCTTTCCTATTTTAATATGCATTGATGCTTACTCTGTTTGTAGTTATAGTTCCTGTAAATGGCGACCCTCCAGGCCCCTCCACATCCCTGTCTGCTGTTCCCACGACATTGCTTCAAGCAGTCATGGTCGTTCTTCTTTACGCTTCGTGTCAAACGGTTCCCGCAGAAACATTCATTGGCGTTCTATTGGAGGAAAATATTATGGTTTGTAATGTTTATATTGTGAAGGTGACCATTCCAATATCAGTTCATGCTACATGCATGTTCGGTACAGAAATCATGAAGTATGAAGTCGATTTTTATTAATGGCTTATATCAGTTAGGACATGAAATTAAGGATCTTCTTAATATAACTCATCTTAAACTGTCTGTTTACAATCAAAATTATTTTTCCATATTTAGCCATGTAGCCATGGACATAATATTACACAGGATATAATGAACATCGAAGCTCTTGAAGTTTTTATACTTCAACTCGGTCGGTATGGTCAATTCTATGTTTTTTATAGGTAAGACTTTAAATGAAGCAAATTGCACTTATACTTTCATAGTTGTATTTGAAAAAGTATTAATTAACCTCCACGCCGTAGTAATAAGTGTTTTCGTTGGTACAAATGTTCCGACACTTGTCTACTGTCATCCTACTGGATGTAGTTTTCTTTCCATTCAAAGTGCGACTCCATTGGTCTTGGTAACAACCCACGTATCCTGATTATAAATTGACATAGAAACAGGATGAGAATAAGTTTCAAATACCTATGTTTTATGTGCGTACTAACTAGAATAAAAGTTAAAATAAATTTCTTTTGAGAACAAATACAAAAAGTGTTGTTTGTTATATAAGTCATACCTGATTTCACAATGATTGCTGAAATGAAACATCCAAAGTACAATTATACACACGATAACTTAGTTTGGTATTTCTTAGAAAATATTCCTTAAAATGTATAAATTAATAAAAATATGGCATAGGTTTTAATGAAAATATAACATAATTTACATGAGAACGTCTTAAAGTACATGTAAAAGCAATGTTTCATCATTTTTCATTAAACACCGGTACATGTACCAGTTTTTGTGTTGGAGCCACACTTATCGACGCCAGACTATACAAATTGATAAATAACAAAAGATTACTATATAGCATAAGACGTTAAGTACTGTATTTTTGCCCAAAAAACTTATAATCGCAAAAAATAATTAAACAGTAGCATTATCCATTGTGTCAGATATAAGACGTTAAGTACTGTCATACTTATAGTTGTAGTAAGAGTTTTTTTTTTATAATTCTAATGGCGTCATACTTACAGGAGTAGTAAGGGTTCTTATAAATCAGTACTCTCCAGTGGTTCCCGCAGGCTTCGTTGTTTTTCCCCTTGCACGCCATCTTACAGTCACTGGTGGATTTCTTATGTGACTTTGTCAAGTAATTTCCACTAGAAACATTCTTATAATCGCAAAAAATAATTAAACAGTAGCATTATCCATTTTGTCAGATATTGTTTGAGGGAAACATCTGGGTATCATCAATGTAAGAAGACGAATGGTCATACAGAAGCCCTAGCTGGTCCATACTTACATGAGTAGGGTCTTTATAAATCAGGACTGTGTCATACTTATAGTTGTAGTAAGAGTTTTTTTTTTATAATTCTAATGGCGTCATACTTACATGAGTAGTAAGGGTTCTTATAAATCAGTACTCTCCAGTGGTTCCCGCAGGCTTCGTTGTTTTTGCCCTTGCACGCCATCTTACAATCACTGGTGGATTTCTTATGTGACTTTGTCAAGTAATTTCCACAGAAACATTCAACACCAACCTTAAAAAGGCATCATCATGGTTACTTATAAAATTTACAGTCTCTATAAGACTATCGGAGCAATAATGAAAATAAGTTAAAGCTCCTACAAAAGTGGGGATTTGATAAAAATATTCAGGATTTTGGCAAATTGCAAAATGTACGAGGACTGGTTGAAAGAGGAAAAGTGGTTTTGTAGATGGGATTTGTCCCTCTTTGGTGCGTGAATGCTATTTCATAGAGGGATAATAATAATTTTAACATTGTGGGATTGTTGCAATATTTGGAGATTTTGCATAAAATATACATTAATATAATCTGAAATACCAAAGAAAACTGTCACCATTGAACCTTAGGAATGTTTGGGCTTCTTCGTCTATCTGTTCTCAGTTAAAAAATTTGATGTACCAAAAAAGCTGTTCACCTCTAAACCATAATACTTCTTGTTCTCCCTTTTGCATCGGTCGAGGCATTTGCTGACTGTCATACTGTTTGACTTTGTCATTCCGCCATTAAGAGTTCTACTCCACTGGTCCACGTAACAACCATAAAGATCTGTGGAACGAAACAACCAAAAGTGATTAAAGAGAATCGGACCTGAACTGACCCTTACTGGCATTGATTGATTGATTGATTAATTGATTGTTAGATGGATGGATGAATAGATGGACGAATGGATTGGTTGGTTGATTGATTGATTGATTGATTGATACATTGATTTTATTGATTGATTCGAATGAGTTGACATTTGTTACGAATGCCTCAAATTTGTCTACTTAAGTCACATATTTGAAAAAGAAACTGACTTACTGCTCGAGGTTACATGAACTGGGGGTTTTGGTGATGGTTTTCTAAACCAGCCCCATCCATAGGTCACGTGACCTGAAAAGAAAGAGCATCTTTAAAATAATTTTTCTCTGACTTGAGAAAAAAATCATGTAATACTTGCATGAAACATCATGAAAAAATACAAAACATTCTGTGCGTTACACTGGTCCCCGTATCAGGCATTGAATGATGACTTGAGTTGTTATAACGCACAGGCCTTTAGATCGCTTTATTTTGACTTGAGATGTAAAAAAAATACATCTTTTTATACACTCCTATTTTTTAAAAGTCAGAATTAAGCGATCCGAAGGCATGGTATAACGTAAAATATTTCCATTTCTAATTTTTCTCTCTGTGATAACTCTTTGAAAGTTAGCGGAGTTAATTTCTTAATATTTCCATTTCTATTTTTTTTTCTCTGTGATAACTCTTTGAAAGTTAAGGAGTTTTGATAAAAATGTAAATTAGGCAGGTCGATAGGTCAGGAGCTAAGGAGGCCTAATACGCACGCAAATCTCGTGCGCATCTGTCTCTGTGTCTGACGCTAAGGAAGCCAAATATGCATGTAAATCTCGTGCGGCTGCCTTTGTGTTTGACGTCAGTGGGCGAGGACTATTGAAATTGACATGGAAGTCCTCTTGTAATTTAAATCTATTAATCTAAATTTTTAAAGTCTAAATCTACAATTTTATTTCACAATGAAATGGAAATATAAGGAATCACTGTCTAGTTAGTGTAGTATGCCAGGGACATGAACGATAGTGGGAAACATGGGATAATTTATGCATAATGGGCTTCGCCCCGTTATGCAAATTATCCCATGTTTCCCACTGTTGTTGATGCCCTGGCATACTACACTAACTAGACAGTGATTCCTTAAATAATTCTACCGGAATGTAAATTAGGCAGGTCAATAGGTTAGGACCTAAGGAGGCCTAATATGCATGCAAATCTCGTGCGCATCTGTCTCTGAGTCTGACGCTAGGGAGGCCAAATATGCATGAAAATCTCGTGCGGCTGCCTTGTGTTTGCTTGACGTCTGTGGGCGAGGACTATTGAAATTGGGATGGGAATCCTCGTGTAAGAAATCTATGTCTATATTTTTAAAGTCTAAATCTACAATTTTATTTCACAATGAAATGGAAATATAAGGAATCACTGTCTAGTTAGTGTAGTATGCAAGGAACATCAACAACAGTGGGAAACATGGGATAATTTATGCATAACGGGCTTCGCCCGTTAAGTAAATTATCCCATGTTTCCCACTATTGTAGATGCCCTGGCATACTATACTAACTAGACAGTGATTCTTTAAGTCTTTACTACTAGAATGCATGTCTTGTTAAAATTTTAGGGAACATTTTATTAACCGTGGTTTTGATTAATACTTGTACTGTCTTGAGCAATCATTGATTTTTATTTGAAAAAAGTTATATCTATATTCAAAATCTTGAAACTAATATGCAAAAAATATGATTCATATATTGTAATTTTGTGATCTATCTAGGAAAACGTTCCGTGATTTATATTCGAAATTTTTCTCCTTATAGGACCTATTTTGCTTTTTGGGAAATATGTAAAAGAGCTAAGTTTCGAAGGTGAAAGTACAACGAATACACAAAGGGATAATATATCAATATATCGCCTCTTAATCTTCGCCTTTTTAGCTCACCTGAGCCGAAGGCTCAAGTGAGCTTTTCTGATCACATTTTGTCCGTCGTCCGTCCGTAAAAAAACTGTAAACTTTTCACATTTTCGACCTCTTCTCAAGAACCACTGTGCCAATTTTGACCAAACTTGGTACAAATTATCTTTGGGTGAAGAGGAATTTAAATTGTTAAAATGAAGGGACATATCCCCTCGCAAGGGGAGATAATCAAGAAAAGACAAAAATAGGGTTGGGTCATTAAAAAATCTTCTTCTCAAGAACCACTGGGCCAGAAAAACTGAAACTTATATGGAAGCATTCTGGTATAATGTAGATTTCTAAATTGTTAAAATCATGACCCCCGGGGGAAGGGCGGGGCCACAATGGGGAATCAAAGTTTTACATTGAAATATATAGGAAAAATCTTTGAAAATCTTCTTCTCACGAACACTGAGCCAGAAAAACTGAAACTTATGTGGAAGCATTTTGGGGTAGTGTAGATTATAAATTGTTAAAATCATGACCCCCGGGGGAAGGGAACATTTTATCAAAGTTTTTGAAATATATAAGAAAAATCTTGAAAATCTGATTTTTACTGGGCCAGGAAAAAAAAGTTAGCATCTGGGGTATATTCAAAATTGTTCAAATCATGACCCCCGGGGGAATGCAAAAAATGGGGATTCATATTTTTTAATTTTGTGATATATAGGAAAAGATATATAGGAAATCTTTGAAAATCTTCTTCTCAAGAACCACTGGGCCAGAAAAGCTGAAACTTATGTGCATATGGAAGGATCCTGGGGTAGTGTAGATTTCTAAATGTCTAAATTATGATCAATGGGGTAGGGTGGGGATGCATTGTGTATTACAGGGAGGAAATCTGGTAAAGAACAGAATGGTCAACGCTTCTCAGGTGAGCGATGTGGCCCATGGGCCTCTTGTTGCTAATCATCTTTAGAACTCCGCATCTTTTTTCTATATCAAGAAATATTATCTGCAGAAAGCTTCCATTACTTAAGATAAACATCATTCAAAAAAAAGTGTAGATACTTGGTTTTGATTTTCAAACACATTCAAGTCTTTTTTTCTGAGAATGGCACTTTTTTCGGTCGATTCTTTGTAAATTCGTTTTTCCCTGAAATTATAGAATTTTTTTTCAGAAATTGCTCTTTGCCCCCCCCCTCCCGTTTTGGCCGACTACATAAGCAATCCTTTTAAGCAATTGATCGCTCCCACTTTTATAATTGTTGCACCAATGCAGAATTTCGAAAGATAATAAGTCAACGTTCCTGACAAAATAAACTGTCAACGAAAAATTTACAGTGAAAAATTCAATGTTTTAATAAACAATTTTCAGAATTCTTAAAGTTTGTTGTTGCGAATGAGTAAAGGCAAAAATACGAAGTAGCCTAAGTGCGAAGGGAAAAGATGTAAAGGCGAAGATGCAGGGGCAAGGAAAGGTGCCAATATTGTTTGTTTGCCTTCGAACCTTTTTTTCTTTTTTGTCTTCTTAAGTTCTGTTGTATGTGGCGGCGCTATATTGGATATCTATATATATGTATATGCTGTGATGGATCACTCGCAGGCCAGTAGCAACGGCTTCAAATGTTGGGGGCATTTCCCCCCAAAAATATCTGACATACCTAAACTGGGGGCTGTCAAAATCCCAGAATTTACCAGTGCTCGACCTTACAGCAATAAAAAATAAGGGGAACCAGCATCTTAAGTAGATATTTTTAATACTATTTTATATTACACTCGAAAAACTTGAGAGAAGCGAGACGAAAAGACCGTTTCCTAAAAGTAATCGTAATTTTAGAGGGAAAGTTTATACATGATCGGTGAAAAAGCCCCCTCCCCCCATCCCCTACCTGAAAAACAGCAATATTAAAATCGTGTGGTGATGATCAGGGATAGTTTTTTTTATTATTTTAAAGAAAACGTATTCAAAATGTAACCTTTTGGCTTACCTAGTCATATTTCATTTTTTTTTTATTAATTGCTTTAGCAATTCAAAACATTATCCAGAAAAATATTCCATTTTCCTATTTCACTGGAATCAGATACATTAAAAGAACACTTAAATGTTATGAGTCTTTACTTTTTTGCCTTTTCTCTTTTTCAAATGCGCACAAGTTCCTGCCGCGAATGCCAATCAAATACGAGGGTTGTCCCGTAAAATCGTGGACAAAGCTTTTTTCTCGAAAAGTAATGGCCGCACTTAGTTGAAAATTTCAGTAAATGTTTATTTATCATATTTAAGTGCATGATAATTTTTTTGATAAAATATAGGCAAAAATAAAGATTTTATTATAATTGTAACCTTTACGGCGCACGGTAAAAAAACCAAGGTTTTATTAAAGAATACACAAGTTTGAATTCAAAATAAAAGTTTTAAATACATAAGATTTGGATTAAAATTATCCTAATTCAATTGCACAATCAATTTTGTAGTCTTTGTAAAAATTTTAAGCCATTTGGTTAAAGTACATTAGAAAGTGGTAAACACAACACACGAAAAATGGCGACGTTTTATGACGTTACGGCGCACCGGAGAGCAGTTCAGTTTTAATTCGATGTTGTAATGACACTTTTTGAGACTTGAAATGACCATAGAAGAAAAAAGATTATAAAAATATCACCATATCTTAAGTATACAAATGAAATAAGAGTTTTCTTAGCGAATTCTTTTTTGATCGAGTCCCTGGGGAGTACAAAACATACGGACAAACTTCTTATGTAATAGCAAAAGAAGCTGTCACAGTAGACCGCCGATATGAGATTTTCAATTAGTTGAATGATGGTGAGAATATTGTCCGTAACTTACTAATAAATCTTTTGCATGAGGGTGCCAATTGGTTCTTCGACTGTTTATGGAGACTAAAGAATGTGTATCAATGAAATTCCTAAATTTAAGTCGGACTCATCCAACTTCATTTTCAGCAAAGATAAAACGTGACGCTGTTTTAGACACTTTGACGTTAAAATCCATGCGCCGTAAGGTGATACAATACATGGCATAAAATTTCATAATTTGTTTATTTATGCATATATTTATCTGAAATTTTTGTATATTACTAAAATATGTATTAATTAATAGTGAAAATTTCAGAACACAGTGATGTTTATTTTTCATACTAGACAACTTGTCCACGATTTTACGGGACAACCCTCGTACATCCTCATTCTTTAAACTAGTAAAATAAAAGATATAAAAGAAAACTGTCGAAGACTTACCAATGTTGAGAAGGCAGACAGAAAATAGGGTTGAGAGGTACATAATTTTGCTCTAGTCGATGATCCGTGGGGGAGAGTTTTTATACCACTAGGATCATTGAATAAGAGGAAACAGGTTGCAGAAATCAAATCAAATCCCCCACACTGGTCAGATTTCATGTATTGATAAGTAATTCTTTTAATTAATGAAATGGCACGGTATATCCTTTGTTTCCTTTATTTTCAAAAGAAAAATTTAGTCAAAAGCTAATTTATGCGTGTATCTGTGTGTGTGTGTCTGGGAGGGAGGTACTTATTAATCTATATTTTTACACAGAAGGTCCCTATTTACGAGTTCCGATTTGGGCATTTTGATACGAGACTGGAGCTGAATTTTTTTATGAGATGAAAAACAACATGTAAACTTCTTACCCGCTTGAAAAGCAGGGAGGTAAATAGTTATGGCACGCCAAATTCACAAAAATGAGATAAACCTAGTTTCACAATTGTTAAACTAGGTTTATCGTCTGTAAACTATAGTTTACAAACCGTAAACTATAGTTAACGATTCGTTAAGTATAGTTTTCATCTGTAAAACTATATTTAACGGTCGTTAAGTATAGTTTACGAATGCTAATCTAAGTTTATCTGTCTGAATAAAGCGTTAACAATAGATTTTGTTGATAAACATAGATTCACTTTGTAAACTATAGTTTACAATCGTAAACTATAGTTAAGAGTTGTTAATCATAGTTTCACAAATCGTGAAACTATATTTATCAGATCGTTAACTATAGTTAACGGTTTGTAAACTATAGTTTACAAATCGTGAAACTGTATTTATCAGATAATCTATGTTTTGCAATCGCAAATGATAGTTTTCGGTGTTAAGTATAGTTTACGGTTGTGAAACATAGATTATCGCGTTAACTATAGTTTACAGATGTAAAATATAGATTAACGTTGTTAACTATAGTTTACAATCCGTAAACTATAGTTTACAACCGATAAACCTAGTTTATCGATTGTGAAACTATGATTATCTCATTTTTGTGAATTTGGCGTGCCATAATTAGTGATGGGAGTTTCCGTCCGTCCGTTACGCTTTCGGGTACGCATCTCTTATCCGCTCCTCCCTTGTACCACTTAGTAAAATTTGATGAATCTTGCACAGAATCTTTGTTATGTGGTGCTATTGCGCACCTCCTATTTTACTTTATGACAGGGCACATACTTTGGGTTTCCCAAAACAAAACATTGATACTGCCATTCTTTCTATCATATTGAGGGGTACCCATCTCCTATCCATATTTTGCTATGGGAAACTCGAAATCATGTCCGATCAAAAAGTAAAATACATAAAAGGTGCATTTTGGCATTATTTAACAAAGATTCTTTGAAAGTCTCATTAAATTTCATTCAGTAGTACAGGAGTTGTAGAAAAGAGAGGGGTACCCCATATTGTAACAGACGATTGACGTACTGACAGACGGACGAACACCCCCATCACTATATACCACCCTGCTTTTCAACTGGGTGTATAAAAATATTTTCGGATTTGGAATTAAAGAAAAATTAACAACTTGTCCAGTCTATTTCGGTGTGTGTGTGTGTGTGTGGGGGGGGGGGGGGGGGGGGTGATCACCCTGTTACCCTCTCTAGATCTGTGCATTGTCTGAAGCTGATCACAACATATATATTACCCACGCAATTCAGATTTTTTTTGGGGGGGGGGGCACAAACCTCACTCTCATGATATATTGCTCATTTAAGCATATATGTTGGTCACACTTATTGCACAGCAAATCAATACATATATCTTCAATCCAAAATTATTTATGCATTGATGACCTTTTTTTCCTCTAGTGGAAGTAATACACAATGATGTAAAATCTATCAGTTTATATTTCTGTAAATTTGATAAATGACCTCTTTTGATGAAAGCTGACAGAATTGATTAACAAATCAATATACTTTTTGATTACCTAATTTTTCACAGGGTGCAAAGTCAATAATTAAACAAGGAAACCCAACAGGTGTATTTGTCTACCTATCTTATTTCTGTAATATTTTTTATTGACTAGAAATGGAAAATGTGAATACAGGATAAAGAAAAGCTGCATCCTGCAGATTTTGATAATCAGACTTCAATAATAATTTAAGTTTTGAGGTAATAAAAATATCACACACAATATTTTTGATGGTTTTTATTTTCATTTGATGAGGACGGAATGTTTAAAATTTTACAGTGAGATTTTGTACAAAAAAAGGGAGTCATAAACAAAACACACACAAGTATCTAGCAGTATATCAGCAATACACAAAAAACATTAAACAAGTGTACAGTGTTCAGTGTACAGTGTCTTGAACAATACGAAATGATTCACTTTTAAAACACACTTCATTCTACAACCATGAACACATCCAATATAAGGGGCGTGGCTAGTAATTTTTCTATTTTAAATGACCAGTCATTTTGAGGATATCTGCTGCCAAGGAGGAGATGGCTACATCTGCATGAGAGCTGTAAGTAAACAAAAATCTGATTAGTCATTGTACCCCATGTGATCCTAGAGATCTCTTTTGATTGGTTGGTGTATTTTTATCCTTTAACAACTGACCTGGCAGTCTGGACAAGATTCCTGATGGTGTTGGCTAAAGTCTCTCCATGTTGTCTCATGGACTCTATGTGAACCTTCTCTGTACTCAGCTGAAATTCAATAGGTTTACATCTTATTTATCATTGAACATTCTATATGAATTATAGTTAAACTATGTTTGGAGTTGAAAATTTTCCCTCAGAAATTAATCCAAATATGGCACACTTTTTTAGATAGGTTGAATATTTTAAAATAGGTTTCTAGATTCAGAAAAATATATGTAGTTCCTTATTATTTAAACTGTCAAACTGTTAGACTTTTACTACATGGAGTAAGATGACAAACAATAAGATCCTACTATCAGTATTACAGTTTTAAAGACTAATGATGTCCTAATTTTCATGCAGCCAATTGACCTGACAATTTATTAGATCCATCTATCAGTCTTACAGACCTTGTCCCATGTTTTATCTAACATGATAAAATTGCGAGATCCACCTACCAATCTATTTCATTTAATCTTAACAAATTGATGGAACACTTACCAGTCTTTTAATGATCCTTAACAGAACTTTCTGTTTCTTGACATCAGCCTTCTTCAGTGCCTTACTGTAGTATTCCTGGATGATTATAAAAACATTGACCTGATTAAATTTTTTTAACCTATTTATTTCCAACATAAAACTTATAAAAATCTGTTGTGTTTTTATACTGTCATATATAGTTAAATATGATAGAAAATATAAAACAGCAGTACAATGCTTATTTTGCTTCAAAACTTATACTTGAAATATACACATTTGTTCCTATAAGACTTTCTCCTAAAATTCAAATCTCAAGAAGTTACAAACACATTACAGCTAAAATGCATTCTTCCAAACATGAATATTTTTAAATATAATTTTAGAAACACTGTATACTAGTATGCCATATTTTATAAAATGATTACCATATTTTCTGGAGTCATGGCATCCTTATTCTCTCCTCCAAATAGCTGGACCAGGAGAGACAGACATTTAGTGGAGAAATCCTGGATATCAGTGTCCTCAAAACACAACTGGAATACAGTACAAAGAAATTATGCTATTATTGTCAAGCTTATGGGTTTTTCAGCAGAAAAAATTATGCTATTATTGTCAAGCTTATGGGTTTTTCAGAAGAAAAAAATATAATAACAAATTGCTTCAACTGACAGAGCTTAGCTAATTTGTATAGAGAAACCTTTTTATTCATCTGGATCAGGAGTGCATATTTTTTTTGTCCTGTCTGTCCATTTGTCTGTTTATCTGTTTGTCTTTCTGTCTGTTTCAACTTTAACCTTCGCAATAACTTCTGAACCATGAATGATAGAGACTTCATATTTGGTATGCATACTCCACTAATTGAGTTCTTTTATGACACCAAGGTCAATGACCTTGACTGTGACCTGTATGCTAAGAATAGCTTTTTTTTCCAAAAAATAGCTTTTTTGAACTTTGTTACCACCAGGTGCATAGTATTTCACAAACACTTCTTTTTTCTTTACCAATTGAGCAAGGACAGTAGTGATATTTGAGACTACATGTATTTAGTCAGTATGAGTGTGAGATCTATCCTACTGGTCAGTATGGGTGTCAGATCTGTAACTTACCAGTTGAGTTAGGATAGTGGTAAAGTCTGTCAGTGATTTATTGGTCAGTATGGGAGTGATGTCTTTAACTTACCAGTTGAGTTAGGATAGTAGTGAGGTCTGTCAGTGATTTATTGGTCAGTAACAGCTGCTCTGCTTCCTCTGCCTCACGATTTCCTCCCTCCCCTCCAGCTCTCTTGTTCTGTTATCAAAACAAAGAACAATGTTAAAATAATATAATTGTTTTCCTTTTTGTTGTTCTTACTGCAGTCACACTCAGAAACTAAGAGATAATTTGGTCTAAAAGTCAATCACTACTTCATATTACTAGCAAAATGAAGTACATACTATTTTCACAAACAACCGTCAACTTACTGTTTCATCTGCTCGAGACTAAATATTACCAGAACAAAATTTAATAGTTGTAAAATGAAAGACTTCATTTGAAGTACATGTTCTTTAGCCTTTGATTTTTTTAAAAATCATTACTTTAAGTCTTATAAAAACAAATCTAGTATTTTTTCTAAATCTTTTTTAAAAAATTATAATTTCCTTTTATTTACTTGTCAATTGATATTTGAAAATATAAACACTGAGTTTTCTTTCTATTAATTTCCTACCTGCAGTGCTTTCCTGACGACCTCTGAGACATACTTGAACATGCTGTGTAGTGTGTCCAGTAAGTTCTGTAACATAGACAGGGCCACCTTGTTGTCTGTGTGTTCGTCTGTGTCCAGACAGGCAGTGGTCACATCAAAGAACAGGGTGGTGAAGTAGTCGATCAAACCTGTTAGGTACAGTTAAACTACTGTGTAAAGTTCAAACAGCATATACAAATACTATATAATAAATACT